GATGAAATAGTGATGTCTGCAGCGTTTTAAGTTAAATAATATTTTTAATGATTCTTATATTTAGGTATACCTAGTGGAATAAGGCAAGATATTCCTCATAAGAATCACCTATGTGAGTGTGAACTGGGCCGGTTCTATGAGATTTGTAAAGAGCTACAAGTCCTTAGAGCACTCATGAAAGACCAGGTTGTTCAGGACCAAAATGAACACAATAGTGAGAACTAAACTTTATCTGGAGATATACTGTGTGAGTTCTATTGTCTTGATTTACACAAACGGCTGAACAGTTTAAAACATCATGTTCACTGGTTAACTAGTAAATACGATAGTGTCTTACAAGGGAAGGTTCAAAGCCAAAAGCTACCTATCCTTTGCAGAATATTTCCAATTTCTGTACTCTCTGTATTTAGATCATATTGTTTCATTTTCTCTCTGTCAAATTCTATTCATATGGGGGATTGTTGGAAAATTGGTTTTATATAGGCTTATTTTGGGCCATTTTTGAGCCTAAAATTGAGTGGGTCCACACGTCTTTTGAGATGGGTCGAAAGAGGTGATGTGTTCCTTGCCGCATGGTAAGTCACATCGTGAAGACAATTCGTCAAAACCATTTATGAGTGAATGAGAAATTGACGTCATTTTTGGGTTCGTAGAATAGACAATTAAAGAAGTAAATATGGGTTTCTTTGAAATGGGTTGTCCCACATTGAAATTTTAAAAGAGCTTAGTATATAAGCGCTTAGTGTACTAACTTGAATTGGGCTCCAAGGGGCACCCCAAGTTTGTAAAATGAATGAGTTATGGACAAAGTCAACCTTAGCTCAAACCACCACACACGCGGGCGCGCGCCGCCGCCCCCCATCCGTCCGGCTGAGCCGGACGCAGGTGTGATCGGGTCGATTCTAACTTTAATTATTTGGACAAAATTTATTTGAAATTCTTAATGAAATTAAATTCAAATTTTGTGTCAAAAATTGAATTTATTTTTCTATCCATATGTTACCTGTTTTTCAATCCATTTTTTCAGCAAAGTTCAACAGGTTCAATCTGTTCTAAACAGATTGAATAACTGCCAGCAGTTTTTAGACAGTTTTAACTGCCAACAGATAAAAAACTGCCAGCAAATTTGTTCATTTGAATTTGGCACTTGTTGACCTCATTTTTGCACCTGTTTGGGTCTGTCAAAATTGCCTATATACACCAGCATTTCCAGCAGTGTTCTGGCATCAAAAACATCCAGGAAAAATCTGTTTCCTTCTCGATTTTGCCCTCTCTTTGCATTATTCTTCATATTAGATTTTAGGCAAATAATTAAGAGAGTATTAAAAACATAAGGTTTTGTTCGGTAAACAAATTGTTTGAAGTGCTACTACAATTTGTGAAGATCATTGTATCTCGGGAGATAGGCGTCATTTGTCTGTAAGTACCGTAGCGAGGCGAATCTGTCTTAAGGACAGAGTGTCACACACTCAACTTGATCTTTTTATGATTCATTCGGTTCGGTAAGATAAATTCAGTAAGTAATTTGTTTTATTTGTTGATTTAGTTTCAATTTATTTATTGTATACAGAAGATTGTTCCAACAATCTTAATACTAATAACTGCAGCAGTTTCTATCTGTTGGTAACTGCTGGACAAATTTAAATCTGTCTGGCAGTTTTATAACTGTTTGGGTTCCAACAGATCCGAAACTGTTTAGACTGTTTCATCTGTTTGGAAAATTCGACTGGAGAAAGTAACAAATAGACAAAAAAATAAATTCAATTTTTGACACAAAATTTGAATTTAATTTCAAACAAATTATAGTTAGAACAGATCTACACCCGCGGCCGGACGGATAGCGGCGGCGACACGCACGCGTGTGTGGTGGTTTGGGCTAAGGTTCACTTTATCCATAACTCCTCCCTTTTAAAAACTTGAGGTGCCCCTTGGGGCCCAACTCAGGTTAGTACACCAAGTGCCTATATACATACATAAGCTCTTTTAAAGTTTTAATATGGGACAACCCATTTCAAAGAAACCCACATTTACTTCTTTAATTGTCTATTTCACGAACCTGAAAACGACATCAACTTCCTATTCACTCATAAATGGTTTTGACGAACCGTTTTCACTGTGTGACTTGCCATGCGGCAAGGAACACATCATCTCTTCGGACCCACTCTAAAAGATGTGTGAACCCAACTCAATTTTCGGCTCAAAGATAGCCCAAAATAAACCTATACAAAACCAATTTTCCAACATTAAAAACAATTTCACTGTGACTTGCCATGCAGCAAAAAACACATCACCTCTTCAGATCCACCCTAAAAGACATGTGGACCCCACTCAATTTTCGGCCCAAAGATAGTCCAAAATAAACCTATATAAAACCAATTTTTCAACATTAAAAATAATTTTTGAATTGAGTTTTGAGTTATGTGTTTGGTTACGATTTGAGTATGAAGTTGTGTTTTGAATTTGAAATATTAAAATTAAAAATTAAAAATTAAAATATTTACAAAATAAAATAAAATGTTTAAAATAAAAAAAATTTAAATAAAAATTATATATTTAAAATAAAAAATAAAATTTTCTTAAACATTTTTAATATTTTTAAAAAATAAGTCCAAAAATTTAAAATACAACTCAAAATTCAAAAATTCAAAACTCAAAATACAACTTAAAACTCTTCAAAATTCAAAAACTCTTTTTAAAACTTATAATCAAATAAATTTTCTCTTTTTAAAACTCAACTCACAATTTTACACTCAAATTATAACTCCAAAAAAGAAATCACAATTTTAAAATTAAACCAAACGTTGCCTATATTTTGGTTTTTGACTTGTTTCTTTGCCTTTTTTTTACATATATTTTTTTTTAAGAATTTTTAATATTTTTAAAAAATAAGTCCAAAAATTTAAAATACAACTCAAAATTTAAAAATTCAAAACTCAAAATACAACTTAAAACTCTTCAAAATTCAAAAACTCTTTTTAAAACTTATAATCAAATAAATTTTCTCTTTTTAAAACTCAACTCACGATTTTACACTCAAATTATAACTCCAAAAAAGAAATCACAATTTTAAAATTAAACCAAACGTAGCCTATATTTTGGTTTTTGACTTGTTTCTTTGCCTTTTTTTTACATATTTTTTTTTTAAGAAAGTCAAAAAATTAAATTTTAATCAACTTTTCAAAACAACATTGAATTGGGTGACATATGAGAATGAGGTACAACTCATCTGAATCCAACTTGGATTCGAACCGCGAACAGCTTGGCCAGACTGGTGCAGTTTTGGGTGCATAGAAAATAGTACCCTGTTGATTTATTTGGATCATATTATTTTTTTATTTTTTACACATCTTATTATACTAATAAATAAAAAAATAGCACTATTATGTCTACTAAAGTTGTTTAGTCCTTATCATAAAAAAAAATAAAATGCAAATTACACTAACAGTAGTTTGAGGCTTGTGTTATTTAGATTATTAACATTTTAATTGTGATACATTTAATTCTGAATTTTGAATTTCGTTTTAAATAGGGACAATTGAATTTCAAGGACAAAATTATCAATTTGAGAAAATATAAACTAAACTGTCAAAAATAAATGTGAAAAATTTATTTTTAAATTTTTAAAAATTATTTCTACCTATCAAAAATAAAATTATATAAAAATGATAAATATTTTACATTTTTATTTATTTTTTTATTTTTTTACCAAATTAATTTTTAATATGTGAATGGATAACAATCATATAATGGTTAGTTGTTTTGTTTGTTGATTTTTTGTGTGATTATCATGTAAATGACGGCTGTATTCAGTGTTAATAGATATTTTTTTTTGATTATCATGTAATGAATGGTTATTAGTCTTTTAATGTGTAATCAATATATTTAATATATTAAATATTTTTAATTTAGGCCTTGTTTTGGAATAAATTATTTTAGTAATTTTTTTGACTTTTACGAAAAGATGTGTAAAAAATAGAGAGAGTGATATGACAACTTATAATGATTTTTTAATTTTTTGACTAAAAATATAGTTACCAAACGAAGCCTTAATGAATTGGTTTAATAATGACATTAAAATTATCGACATCTTTGACTTTTGAAAAAAATTAAAAATAAATTATTTTTATATAATTTTATCTTTTTGAAAAAATAGAAATAATTTTTTTATATTGATTTTTATTAAATTAATTTTTAATTTTTTAAAAGTCAAACATGATTCCGCACAATAATAAAATGCATTATTTTATCAATTTATTTAGTTAGAATTCACTTTTAGCAGCTTAGGTCTCGTTTGGGAACATATTTTTTTAGTTTTTTAATTAAAATATGTTATAAAAAATTAATATATTTGGGATCATTTCTTGATTTTTTATAAAAAGATATACACAAAGCAGAGATAAAAAGGAATATTTGATAACGTTTAGTAGAATTTTAAAATTATGAGAATAGTGTTGTATTTTAAGTTTATGGGTTTTGAAATTATGATTTGAGTGTGAAAAATTTGTTTGATTATGAGTTTTAGAAAGAGTTTTGAATTGAGTTTGAAATGAATGGTGTAATATATGATATTGATTCAAAAACTTACAACTCAAAATCAAACACATAATTCAAAATTCTTTTCAAAACTCATAAAAAAATTTAAAAAATTTTGAAAATTTTTTATTTAAAATATAAAAATAATAGGTGTAAAAAAAATTGTACACTGTTCTAGTCAATTGGCTGAACATTTCGGGAATGACTGAGTAGACCTGTTTTGAAAAGTAAGTGTTGAATCATATTTTCAAAACTCTATCCAAACAAAGGGTGTAATGGAAGAGTGAAATTATAATTTGAGAAGTTCACCGAGCACAACCTTTCATTTTTTAGTATAAATTATTAATTTTTTTAAAAAATTTTTTTATAACTTTTTAATTTTTAAAATTAAAGAGCGAATTTATACTTATAAATAAATAAATGAATCATATCCAAAACAAGCGATCATGTCGGCAACAAGGGTAGGATTGTACTTTGGCGGCTCCTCACATTTATCTATCTTCTCCACAGTCCTTATTCATCTCTCTCTCTCCTCTAACCCTAGATCCGAGGGTTTCTCACTCTTGTTTTCAGTTTTTGTTTTCGCAGACGCCTCGACCTCGCTTTGCTGTCTCTCTTTCTCATACTCAAGCTCCAGGTATGCCTAGCTCCAAGAGCTTACTCTACTCTGCCTTATACCTTTCACTTCCTCATTCAAATTCAGAGCTCTGAATCTGATTCTAAACCTAGGTAGTATATCAATCTGGTTTTTTGTTTGTAGGATCATGGGTGAAATTAGGGACAACGAGGCTTACGAGGAAGAGCTTCTCGACTACGAAGAGGAGGACGAGAAAGCCCCTGACTCCGTCAACGCCAAACCCACCGGCGAATCCGTCAAAAAGTAAACTTTTCTCGATCTGTACTGTCTTGTTGATTAGGAAAGTAGATGTTCTTTTGGGCAAACCCTAAAAGTTGTTAACTTGATTAGTTTTTTTTTTTTTTTTCCAAACCCACCGGCGAATCCGTCAAAAAGTAAACTTTTCTCGATCTGTACTGGCTTGTTGATTAGGAAAGTAGATGTTCTTTTGGGCAAACCCTAAAAGTTGTTAACTTGATTAGTTTTTTTTTTTTTAATAAATACCCTTTTTTGAATTCAATTTTTGAATTCAATATTGGTACTTCTTAAATTCTTTTGGGTTGATTTTGCTTTGTACTTTTGCTTCTATTGTTTGATTTTTACTAATACTTGATCTGGGTGTTGAGGAAATCTGGGAAAATAAATGAAGTTTGAACTTTAGAATATGGTTTTATTAATATGGTTTGTAAGAGAGAAGAAAGTTCTCTTCTTTAATGCAACTATTTGACTTGGTTGATGTGGTTTCTGTGTTAGGTTGAATGAAGTTTGAAAATGTTTTTTGTGGTTCTGACTGCCAATACATGAGTAGCTCAAACCTAGATTTAGTGAGAAATTGTTGTTGGTTGTGGGAGTAGTGTATTGACTGTTTGGGGCCTTTCTTTAGCACACCTGCTCATAAATGGTTTGTTTTGGAGAAAATCTATGCGGCAGAGACCATTTGTGTAGCTTGATCTTTTGATCATACTTGTCCAAGTTGAGGGAGACATTCCCTTTGCTGGGATTGAATTCTAATCTAATGTGTTGTGTAAATCTAATATTTCGCCCTTAACCCAAAACTATGCATTGTATGAAAATGGTCACCACTTGTAAATTATACGTGTTATGCTCTGTTTTATAACGCCAATGTGGACTCATAAGTGGTCAATGACTTCGGAATGTGCTACAAGGGAAATTTAGTTCACCTAAAGAAGCATTTTTCTTGTGGAATGCTTTAGTTGTAAATTTCTTACTATATGCTGTTGAATATTTGCATATTAATGTGACACGTTTGTTACAGGTCATTCTGTTGTATTAATTCTTCTGCACCTTGTTTTGCTTGTCTGCAATGATGTAGGGGCTTCCTCAAGTGAATACGTCATATTAAACTATCTTTGTTTTGCTATTTTGTGATGTAGGGGCTATGTTGGAATTCACAGTTCGGGATTCAGAGATTTCCTGTTGAAACCAGAGCTTCTTCGAGCCATTGTAGATTCAGGATTTGAGCATCCTTCAGAAGGCAAAGTTCTAACCTACACGTTTTGTGGATATTAGATTTTGGATTTCTTTAAATCTTACAAGAGTGGCTATTTCAAAAAAAAAAAAAAAAAAAAAATTCAATGAATTTTTATGTTTTCATTGTCCAACATTAAGAAAAAGAACTTTTTAAGTTATCTGAGTTATGCTGATGATTTTGAATCAGTTTCTGTTTGTGTATAAGATATTGTAGAACACCACTTAGCTGCTTTCTACCTGTGAGCATGCTTTACTTTTGACATTGTTCTACGAAATACGTAATTTGGATTTGAGCTGTGTTTGTGGAATGCTACACAGTGCTATATACTTGAAAACCTTTTGAAACTGGTTTTTTCAATTCTATTTCACCAATTTATATTTATATGCTTTTGTCTTCAATTATATGTTACTATTGGGGGAAACATGTTTGTTATTTTTCTTGTTTTGGGTGATAAATGTGGTTACTTGCATGTATGTAAATAAATATATCTGTTAAGACCTTAAGTGAGGTAACTAGTGGTCAAAAGGTGTTGTCTATTTAATTGCAGTAGATGTCTGCAGAACCTGCTGGTACACTTCAGAAATGTGTGATCTTTTCTTTTAGTGGGCTTGAAACTTATTTTGCTAGTTTTTTCTTTTGTTCATGCAATGACAGATGGCTTGTTAAGCTTTTTGTAGCAAGTGGGACATCTTGGTACCCAGCATATTTGGAGACTTTTCGTATGATGTTTCAGAATTATAGTTCAGCCTGTCACTCTACTTAGTTTCATGTTGGTGCATACTATACTTTTTTTTTAACTTGAAGTATTTTATATTTTTCAGGTAAAAAACACTACTTCCATACTCATGATTTGGGCCAGAAAACTGGTTTGCTAAACCTTTCCATTAAAAGGATCTGGAAGATCATTTATACTTATTGAGGATTCGTCCGCTCCGATTTTGTTTCCTTCTTCACCAGTGCAACATGAGTGCATACCTCAAGCTATTTTAGGAATGGATGTCATCTGTCAAGCAAAGTCAGGGATGGGGAAAACTGCTGTGTTTGTTCTTTCTACTCTGCAGCAGATTGAACCTGTTGCAGGACAAGTTGCTGCTCTTGTCATGTGTCATACGAGAGAATTAGCTTACCAGGTATGCTGGGAGACCTGGAAGTTAGTATTTAGGCGTATTTGTTTGAGTTCTTGGACCTTGTATTTCCAATAATGTGATTTTGTTTCTTACCTAACCATTACTTTTTATTATTTACAGATCTGTCATGAATTTGAGAGGTTCAGTACCTATTTGCCTGATATTAAGGTTGCTGTCTTCTACGGTGGTGTCAATATCAAGGTTCACAAGGATTTACTGAAGAATGAATGTCCTCATATTGTTGTTGGTACTCCTGGAAGAATATTGGCTCTTGCAAGAGATAAGGAACTCGGCTTAAAGAATGTGAGGCATTTTATCCTTGATGAGTGTGACAAGATGCTCGAATCACTTGGTAAGCTTCTGCATTGTTTGGCCTGCATTGTTTGTTCTTTTTAGTACCTCTTTTCTTTTTCTTTCCTTCAAACATTGATAATTTATTTATTTGTTTTTTTATTTTTATTATTACCTTATCTACAGATATGAGGAGAGATGTGCAGGAAATTTTTAAGATGACTCCTCATGATAAACAAGTTATGATGTTTTCAGCTACACTCAGCAAGGAAATTCGTCCAGTTTGCAAAAAGTTCATGCAAGATGTAATATTATTTCTCCTCTGTTTCCTTTTTGTTATGTTAGATTAGGAAGATATGCGAACTACTGATTTTCTGGTTGTGCTGGCACTGGTTTCTATGAATTAGGCAGGGAAATCAACAGTTTGCATCTTGGTATAGATGTTGATGGTTCATGGGTCCTTTACAGGTTTCCAGCTATGCTATTACGTTTGAGTGGCTATGTAGTGTCAGTGTCGATGTATTGCTTCTTATCGAACTGTGTTGTGCTGTGCTTATGGTGACATAATTTATGCAGCTGTTAAATTAATGAATTATACAAGTTTACTGAATGTTATGATACATGCGGGACACGATCCAATTAATTATAGTATTTGTTTCATTTCAGGACACAAAATGTGTATACTGGATAGTTTGCCATTTCTCAATTTTTGGTTAAGCATTATACACTAGGATAGTATTGATAGACTGCCCTTTGTTTTCAGTGTTTATATCATGTCAAATATTTACTCTTTAATTCTTAGAATCCTATGTCATTTGTCTACTTCTGCACTGGGAGAAGCCTTCAATATTGTATCTTTGTACACATACATTTATGCTTATTATTTTGAAGCCGTTTGGAGGAATGGCTATTGGAGGCACACTTTTTTTTTTTTTTTTTTTTTTTTTGGGTGAAAGGAGGCACACTTTTAAAAATAGGGTGAAACTCTTGGCGTTGGGCGGGTGTTTCAATCTGTGTTTGTTTCTAAAATTTTAGGCTGTAGCATGTGTTAGCTTCTTTTTTTTGGGGGATAAGTGCAGTGGTTTGTGTTAGCTTACAATTAGTGTTTAATATGTCTTCTTGTGATCTTTGTCCCTTTCAGCCAATGGAAATTTATGTGGATGATGAGGCCAAACTGACTCTTCACGGTCTAGTACAGGTATTTGTAATTTTTCTAGTAGAGCCTCAATGATTTGTATTTGCTTACACACTCACTATTACTTCTATGTTTTTTCCCATCAGCATTATATTAAACTGAGTGAGCTTGAGAAAAACCGCAAACTTAATGACCTCCTTGATGCATTGGACTTCAACCAAGTTGTCATCTTTGTCAAAAGTGTCAGCAGAGCAGCTGAACTGAACAAGTTACTTGTGGAATGCAACTTTCCTTCTATTTGCATCCATTCTGGAATGTCTCAGGAAGAAAGGCATGTATTCTGTAACTCTGGTTCCACTTGTAGTGAGAAGTACTTGATAATTTTGTATTTTTTGGCTTATACAACGTCGTCAGTTTTATCTATGTAGTCTTCTCTGTAGTTTCTACTGCTGACTTGTTCTGTGCATCCTAGTATCTAATAATCACATATATGATGCTGTTAGGGGACCAAATTTTGGTTACTTAATAAATATCCTGAGTAGATCATCTGGTTTGGGCTGATAAAAATACAAAAAGATCATCTGGTTAGGATGATGTACTTTTTTTCCTTTCTTCCATTGTTATTTTCTTCTCTTTCATTTTTTTTGCAAGACCTAGTGGAAAGTTAAATCTCTCTGGTCTTTTGTTGATTTATTATGATGTCCTTGGACTATGTAGTTTGTTATTCCATTTTTGACTGGTGTCATTACGGTTTTGTGAACTCACAATCACATGCAGTGTGGGATGTGTCCTTGAACTTGTATTTGCAAGTTCTCATGTCGTACATTTGAAGTCGGCACATCTATTCCTGCCAAATGTTGGCTGCTACTCTAATTTACCCCCCACATGATGTGGCCGAGGAATGGGTACGGGGGTACTCTTCTCTGCAGAGGTCTTACTACACCTTATGCTGAAAGCCGGTTGGTCTGTGGGATATGTTCATTGAACATATAGGAAATAATTCGTTACCAGTACTCTGTTCTCTAGATGTTTGCTTGTTTGGCTGTATTAGTGTTTGAAAAACGTCATATTGTCTGTTCATTTGGGGGATCTTGCAACTTCCCAACATAATTATTTTTTGGGTAATGGATGATTTTTAAGGAACTTTATTGAAAAGACTCTGCATTCTAAATTGAAATGAATGTGTAAAACAGTATAATTAATGTTCTCCATTTTACTGTTTCTGCTGCTCTTATGTTAAAGAATCATTGGTGACTGATTTTTAAGGTTAAAACTTTTTAGGTTGACACGCTACAAGGGTTTTAAGGAAGGGCACAAAAGAATTCTTGTGGCAACTGATTTAGTTGGAAGAGGAATTGACATTGAACGTGTCAACATTGTTATCAACTATGACATGCCTGATTCCGCTGACACCTACCTGCATCGTGTATGTCCGCCCTTTTAGCATATGAGATGTGCCTATGTATTGCAGTTTCAGAACTGCAATTGACCTTCCTCCTCAATTTTTAATACTGACAGGTGGGTAGAGCTGGTCGATTTGGCACCAAGGGGCTTGCAATTACGTTTGTATCTTCTGCATCCGACTCTGATGTTCTCAATCAGGTAATTCAATCACACTTGATATCAGCTTGTTGGCAGTATTCCTCTTTTATTTTTTGCTTGATTGTCCATTTAATGCTATTAATCTTGTACTTATTATTTGTACAGGTTCAGGAAAGGTTTGAGGTGGATATCAAGGAACTTCCAGAGCAAATTGATACTTCTACATACAGTATGAACCCTATGCTTTCCTATGCACATGTTAATTTATGTTGCTTTATTTAAATGATCCTTCTGTTAGTTTGGAAATGGGGGTACAAGTTAATATGTTATGCGTTTCTTAATTTGGTGAGCGTGCGTTTTAATACAATCTGAGTTTTTTATTTGCCTGTCATATGTACGCATAAATTATAGAGTACCCAAATCTGTTTACTCATCATTCAATTGGAAGAGAACTGTGGAAAAGAACTGCAAAACGAACTTGTAAAGGAGCCTTACTGCTTAAAGATTAGATGTTGGAAAGGATGTGAATACTTACGAGGTAGTAGCAATAGGTTCAACATTGAATGTACACCAACTAAGAAGCATGGACACTTCTCGGAGGAAGTGTGTCTTATTTTTAACACCCGTGTCACACATTGTCACCCTTCTGTCTGAAATTTCTTCATCATGTCTTAATTACAAAATTGAATTCATAATATTGAACGCTTACACTTCGGTGGCACTTCTTGAACCCTCCAAAAACATCCTATGTGATGAATCCTTTCATAGCTTTGCATTCTTCAAAATGCAATTTATGCACTCTTAATATGTTTTAAAACATTTGTAAAATTAATACATTATGTGTGTTACAATGTTTTATAAGTGTTTTACATTCTTTAGAATGTAATTGTTTTTACGTGAATGATATCTTAATGTTTTAAGTTATGAAAGATATAACTTTTAAACGTAATTAGTGTCATGTTACATATTTGTAATTTTCTTTGAATAAATTATTCATATATATGACATAATAAATTTGTAAAAAACCAACGCCCAATAGTACATATTAATGTGTGTTTGGAAGTAGAAAGATTGGGTACACACTTAAACTTTGACATAAGTGCACAAAGTGGTCGATCCGAGACTTGAACCCATAACCTTATGGTGCCGTGTCCTACATTTTTTGAAAATTGATGTGTTGACGTGCCAGTGTCATGCCATGTTGTGCTACTTAGCTACCCAGGACACCAATTTCTTTGTTGCAGAATACATCATTTCTATTTAATGGAGCTTTAAATTTCAACTGTTTGAAAAGCAATAATTTATATCATTATCTGGGTGAGTATATTTTTTTTTATCAGCAAATAAAAATTTCATTAACAGCATGAAATTAAATGTATGGTTGAGTATATTTTTGAACTATGCATCACTGGTGAGAGTTTGTTATCGTATCTGCTCATAGTAGTTTGTCATAAGGGAATTTATGGGAATGCTTTTCATTGAGAGGGCCAAGTTACATAGTTTTTCTCACCGTGCCTTTTAAAATATTATTCTATTATATAACTCACAACTCACTTGGTGTGAACACTTAGTCACACAATTTTGATTCCCTAGAAGTCCTAGCAATATTATATTTTCCCTAAATATTTTTCCTTACCTAGTAGTTACAGTAAGGATCAGAACCTTAAATCAATTAATAAAAAAAAGCTGCTGCGCACCTCTCTCTCTCTCTCTCTCACACACACACACACACAATCTAACAACAATTCCAGCTGCACATGTGGTGTGCAGACTCGTCTAGTGTGTATATATGTTTCTTACTCTTTATTTTGCTTGGTGTAGTGCCATTGAGATGGAAATTCTTCACGATCTAACAATAATCCCACCTGCACATGTAGTGTGCAGACTCGTCTAGTGTGTATATATGTTTCTTAACTGTTTATTTTACTGCTTTGTGTAGTGCCATCGTGATGGAAATTCTTCAGTTGGGCTTGGATGCTTCAAGCTTCTGTGTAATTCTATTTAACCATGATTGGAAGTTTAAGAAAGCGAGTATGGGCAGGAAAATTTCTTGGGCAATTGCGTTATTTCAATGTAGAATACTGAAAGCAGCTGTAGGGCGAGCGGAGATAGCCTGCTATCTTTTGTTTCTCAACTATCTATCACTTTTGTTTTGCGGATTTTAGATTGGAAGATGTAGGGATTTGAAACTAGGCCTAGCTGAATTATTCAAGCCAGGGCTCAACATTTGCCTGCCAACGTCCATGGAGTATTTAATTTTTGTTTCCGTGTCGTATCCTTTTTATGGTTTTGTTTTGCATTTGTTAATTCTTCATCTTATTTGTCTTAATTTTTCCAAGTGATGTTTTTAATATCACCAATTAAAATGTAGTGCTGTGCTGTATTTCCTCTGGATTGTTGGCATGCCTCCAATTTTTTCCTCAAAAATCAGTTAGGTTTGTGTTTTTTTAATTATATGAATTTTATAACTGTTTGAATTAGGATCATTTTGACCATGTTTTAATTTGATCTCTATTGTCAAAAAAATAGATGAAATTTGGTAATTTGGCTACTCAATACTCTTCTTTGGAGAAAAAGTGAAGTGCTTTCGAATGGGTTAAATATAAAATTGTGGAAATTGTTTTCAGTAGTGGAGATGTAGGATTTTATTTTCATGATGGAGCAAGTTTCTTGTGTAGTGGAAGTTTTTTTTTTTTTTTTTTATTTGTTGGTCTTTGGTGCAATTCTTTTCTGTGAAAGTTGCATCATAAAAAAAAAAAAAAAATCTAGTGTAATTATTCTATGATTGCTCACTTATTTGTAATTTTATTATGAAATTCATAAAATTAAAAAATGAGAAACATTTGAGAGAGATTTTTGTTTTCTTTTTATTTTGTTGCTCTTATTGAGATTTATGAAGTGAGTTGAGATTGTGTTTGTGATATTAAAAGTTAATGAATAGGTTTTGGTATTTCTATTGGGCTGATTTAAACTAGTTTTATCAAATAAATTGTGCTCCTTCCGTCCCAAAATAAATTTAATTTTTTTTGGTAGTACAATTATTGTACTTTTAAAAAGTTGGTTTTTTAAAATTATTTTTTGATAGTACATTTTTTTGAGAATATCAATGTCATAATTGTACTTTTTATATTATTTATGAATTTAAAAGAAGGGTAAAATAGAAAATTTATATTATTTTTGTACTTGATTTTTGAAGAGGGACTAATATTTTGAGACTATGAAAAATGAAATAAGGGACTAATATTATGGGACGGAGGGAGTAAGCAAAATGTACACCAATCTCAAAATAAATAAATAAAAATTTATAAGCTGCTAAGATCAACTGTGTCAAATAGGCCAATATAGGGCAATTATGTTTAGTGAAGGAAAAATTGTCTTTTGCTCCCGGGATAATGTCGTGGTGATTGAACTTAATTTCGATTGGTTAAAACTGTAGAATTCAATGGTGATCGAACTTAATTCCGATTGGTTATAACTGTAGAATTCAATATTTTTTATTAAATTTTTGGATAAGTTGAAACTGTAGAATTCAATATTTTTTATTAAGTTTTTGGATAAGTTGAAACTGTAGAATTCAATATTTTTTATTAAGTTTTTGAAAAATAAATTATCAAGTGTTAAATGATAAATAATGTGTAACAATGCGTCAATACCAGTCAATACCAGCAAATAGTCACTCAGGAAAAAGTTTCGGCAATGTGTTGGATGTAATTATGCTGCCTGCTGCTTGAGTTGCATCTGTTTATGATTTTAATGTTCAATAATGTTTTGTAGTTCGAAATTCAATGTCCCGAATGGCTCAAATGCCTCGAACGACGTCGTTTTGACATTTTTTTTTTCTCTTTCCCTTCCACTTCTCGTTTCTCTCCCAAACATTGAGTTAAACCTAAACAAACAGAGAGGAGAGGCGATATCGAGAGAAATAGAGGAGGAAAGGAGGAAGAGAGGACAAAGAAGATGGCTTCGCCGCCCAAATGGGAAACCGTGATCTGGCTATATCGGAGACAGAGAAGGAGAATGGGTTTGATTTTTCTTAAAAAATCACATCTCAGATTAGCTATAAAAAAAATGTTGCTATTTTGGTCTTGTTTTTGTTCAAATTGCTACTGTTTTGGTGTTGTTTTGCTACTGTTTGGGTGCTGAAATTGCTACTGTTTTGCCTTTTTTTTATTGATGTTTAGCTGTTATTTTGTGCTGAAATTACTACTTTTTTGTGTGTGCTGAATTTGCTGCTAATGCAAATCTTGAAGGAGATGAGAGTGAGGGAGATGAACAAAGGGAGTGAGGGAGATGAACAGAGTGAAGGAGATGACGGAGGGAGTGAGGGAGATGAACAAAGGGAGAGAAGGAGATTCGGGTCTTTTGAGCCACAAACAATTCGAGCTACCCAGCAAAACTCTTTAATGTTTTAGGTTTTTGCAGGTACATCAGCTCGTAAAAATTTCAGATTTAAGACTTTGTTTTGCATGTTATTATAGGGTAAATTTTTTGAGAAGATAATGATGTCAAAAATATATTTTAATTAAAATTCAAGTAATTTTATTATCATGTAGAAGAGTAGTTCGAAATATCATTTTTTCTATTAATTTAAAAAATTTTGACTGTAATTTTTAAAATTATAGAAGTCAATCTATATTTTAAGCAACTTTCAAAAATGTATTTATAATTATTTTTAAGGAGAAATGTGAGTTTAAGAGGTTGGTTATGTGGATAAGACCAAATTCAAGAGAGTAAATCTCCTAACACAGAAGAGTTATTGGTAAAGAATACTTATTAAATTGAATACCACATAACTCCTTTATATAAAGAGTTTGTGTATGTACAATTGAAAATATTTGCAAGAGCATTATTGCAGACTTTAACATCAGAGTGTCCTCGATGGTAATGCTGCCAGTTTACTTGCTTCAACTTTAATTTTGTTTTTTTGTTTTTAACTATTGTTTACTAGGATTGAGCATTAGAACATATTTACATACTGGAATTTTTTTTTGTTCTTTTCACAGTTCTATCAATTATGTATTTAATCAGTTTGACTTGTTTATGGATACAAAAGATGTGCATTGAAAGGGCCAGAATATTCCATTTTCAATATCTATGTTTCAATATAATTTTCAGTTTCATGATCATGCATTAAGATTTTAGTATTTTGAGATTTTAATTATATCGTGTTAAACTCGGAAGCTTATTGAGGACTTAAGCTAATATTTTTGTTCTTCTTTCTTTAAATAAAAATACTAATTTAGCCTCCGTTTGGGAAGTGGGTTGGCTTTTTGACTTTTTAGCTTTTTTGACTATATGAGTCTAGTTTGGAAAGGGCTTTTGGCTTTTTGGCTTTTTTGATTTTTTTGTGAGAGAAGAGTGTAATGATTATGGGATTGAATGGGATGTTTTGTCTGTTGTAGCTCATGAGCCTATTCTGTCTTTTATGGCTCATTGAGCCAAAAAAGCCCAATAAGCCCTTGCCAAACCAACCCTTAATGGTTTTGAAAATATTAATAAATTTCTTATCCTTGTATTTCAGTAATCTTTGAGAGCCCCCCCAAAAAAGAAAAATCTCTCACCCATCCGATTTCTCAACTAGTGGTGGGTTTGGGTTTAAGTTTCTGTTTAGTTAACTTGGTTCGGTTAATCATGGAATTGAGAGGATCAAGTTCGGTTTTGTTTAGTTAATCGAGTATTAATTTGCTTCTTATTAATGAAAATTAAAATTAATTATGTCCAATTATGCCAATTAAAAAATATAAAAAGTATGTTAGAAAAATAAAGTTTATGAAATAGTTTTTTTAATGTAATATGATATTATATTTTTCTTACATTCCCACTTAAATGAAAATTTTCCACGAAACATCTAGGATTATGAAAATTTGTAAAAGTATTTAAATTCCTTTTTCCTTGAGAAAACCCAAAAAGAATCACTCTCATAGCTCACACTTTGTAATTAATGGTCACTACACAACCCTTTGACATTCAACCAACAAAAGCATTTTTGGAAGCCTTCTCGTCTTTCCCATTCAACTATGTTACAAACTTATTATTCAATGATATTGTAAGACTGCGAATTCTAATAGATTGTAAAATTTTCTCAGAAAAATGAAAATAATCTTGGTTTGTACAACATGTTCTGATTCGCAGGACCGTGTCACGACACTCATTCTTGTTTTGAGCTTGCTTCCAGCTCTAGTGCTAACTTGCAGCGATTTGAGTGAATTCAATGTTCTTGATTACGGAGCTGTCGGCGATGGCATGGCAAATGACACCCTTGTAATTTTTTATTTTTTTGAAATTTCATTTTGGGTCACTATTAGATTTTCTTGAGACTGAGAAATTTTTGACATTTTTTTGAATGTGATTTTGTAGGCATTTGTAGAGGCTTGGAACAGAACATGTAATGCAGAGAGTGAAGATGCAAGTATGGTTGTTCCAGAGGGAATGACATTTCTGGTGTATCCCGTGGCATTTGTTGGCCCTTGCAACCCCACCTACATCACCTTTTTGGTAGAAGAGTTTGAATTTTGTGACAATTTTTGAGTCCTTTGACACTGCTACGAACCCAGAAAAAATTTCATAGAAAAAGTGTCTTGTTGGACTGCATTCATCTTGTTGTGCAGTGGACTCAATCTGGGCCGAAAGCAATGCTAACAATCAACTTTTTGAACACTTTTTTCATTGTTTTCCTCTTTGATTATTTTCACTACCTATAATTTCTTTATTTCACAAGAAAGTGCCAACACTGCATTCATTTGGCGGAGTGTGGGCTCCATCTAGGGTGAATGCAGTGTGGTGTTTTCATATTTCATTAATTTTGTAGTTCATACTTTGTGCGACTTCTTTCTCAGAAGCATAGCATTCTGAACACTTTTCAAAAAAAATTATGGGATTTCATTGTTTTCCTATTGAACACTTCTCTTAAAAAGTTAGTTGAGTGACTTCATCTTTCTATTTCCATCTTTGTTCATACTTTGTGCGACTTCTTTCTCAGAAGCATAGCATTCTGAACACTTTTGAAAAAAATTATGGGATTTCATTGTTTTCCTATTGAACACTTCTCTTAAAAAGTCAGTTGAGTGACTTCATCTTTCTATTTCCATCTTTGTTGTAGCTCTCGGGCACAATTATAGCTCCCGATAATCCTGAGGCATGGAAAGGGAGAAATCTAGGGCAATGGTTGACCTTTCAGGATGTGAATGGGCTCGGTGTTAGTGGCCCTGGCAAGATCGATGGACGCGGCCAGGGTTGGTGGGACATCTCATGTAAAAGACATCCTCAATCTCCGGTACACCATATGTTTTGTTGATTTCATATAGTTACATTTCATTAATTAAGATCATAACTAACTTTAATTTTCCCTGTTTCTTGTTTCAACAGGGATGTGGCAAGCTTGCACCAACTGTAACTACATCACTTCAGTGATCAACTACCCAAATTGATTTTTTGAAATAATATAACCCATTAATTCATTAATGTTTTATCTTTTTCAGGTGCTCAGTTTCACAGAATGCAACCAATTTTCCATAAGCAACATTTTGATTGTCAATAGCCCTCAAACTCATATTCTTGTGACGGGATGTAACAACGTCATGATTGATTCTTTGAGCATAAAATCTCCCGAAACAAGCCCTAACACGGACGGGATTCACATTAGCCACTCCACTGGAGTGTTTGTCAGCAACACAGACATTGGCAGCGGTAACAATTTCGCCCCTTTTAAGAGCAATTTGCTTTCTTTCTCTCTTTTTTTTTTTTTTGTCAAAAAAAACAAAAAAATTTTTTTTTTTTTTTTTTTTGTCAAAAAAAACAAAAAAAAATTATGCTTCTAAAAGCGAAACATAGGTCAAAATTTACATTTTCAAAAAGTATTAAGTTTTGATTTTTTGCTAATGGTGATTTGCAGGAGATGATTGTGTATCCATTGGCGATTACACTTCACATATAGACATCACTAATGTTAATTGTGGACCTGGCCATGGTGTAAGGTAAGCGATCTCGCACGTATCAGTCTACTCAAATTATATAAGCTTATTGTTAACATTTTGGACGTATATTTAAAAGTGGCTTGTGTAATGTACAAATTTTCACACTTTAAAAAACAAACAAACAAAACAAAAACAAGGAAAAATAATTGAATTCTCTCTCCAAAATAGTATATGAATGAAGACCTGAATCACTCACTATATGCGCACGCACACATGCAAAGTGTTTCTATGTGTACAAAATGAAGACATTATTTTGATATATGCAACTCTTTTGATAGCATTGGAAGCTTAGGAAGGAGTGGAAATGAGGTGAGAGTAGAAAATATTAATGTGAACCGCGTAAACTTCAACAAAACAAGCAATGGGGTTCGGATCAAGACATGGCAGGTACGATTGTGAAGTGTTTTATTAGTTCTCAATTTGATGCTTAAATATCAATGCTTCAAATTTCACAATTGACGTACACTAATGTTAATTTTCAATCAATTGTTGTTTTCTTTTTGGTATAGGTTGGGAGAGGTCATGTTCGCAGAGTTGTGTTTAAAAACATAAACTTCACAGATGTCAAAAACCCAATTATTATCAATCAAAACTACCATGATGTCAAAAACGCACGCAAACGAATGGTATAATAACGTTCTATGAAGTTAAATTTCACGCTTTAATCAAATATTTAACGGTATCTACAATGAAATTTTTTTTTTGTTTTTTTTGATGAAGAAAACCGGAGTCGAGATTAGCCATGTGCGGTATAGTGGGACATTTGGTACATCAAAGACCGAAGTCGCAATCAATCTGGATTGCAGCCAGGCTGTGCCCTGCACCAACATATTGCTAGACACTGTTGAATTGGAATCATCAAGTCCGGGAAAGCGAGTGATTTCGTTCTGTAACAATGCTTATGGAAATGCCACCGGAGTTGTAAAACCCAATTCATGTCTCCTAAAACAATTTTGACTTACCAAGATGTCTATTTAAATTTTTTTTTTTAGGCTTTTGATTAGGCTAATCACTATTCTTTTGAGTCAAATTATGCACACTTGTTTTTGCTAAATTGGACTACTTATATACAGTGATTTCAATTTTTGGTATGTTTTGTTTGCCAAATTCTTTTAACTTTTACGTTCATTTCTAGGTTATATGTGCTGAGAACCTCCATTTTCCAAAATGTTGAAGATAGATCCTCAACCCCCAAAAAAATGTTGAAGATATGGGGGGTTAAATAGTGGAGTGACATTGTGGATGTTTGAGAAGTGACTATTTTAGAAGTTTTTTGGCTTTCTGATTATTTTTGTAGGCTACTTTAATTTTTGTATTTGGAAAGATAAGATAGATTTTTATTTGAGTTGTTGTATTGAAAAATACGTTTGAAATGATATTTGAAGTTGAAATAACAAATTTGTCCCTAACCTCACTTTTTCCAAAATTGGTCTACATGGGCAAAATTGTCATTTCATTTCAGCCTGTGGGATTAGGCTAGCACTACACTGTGGCAGTGTAGGCTGCCCACTGCCGGCTGCTTTTTTTTTTTTTTAAATATAAATCATTAACTTATGATACTATTTGAAATTATTTGACTTTTTTAATGTTTGAGGCTATTTTAGCCTCAAACTTGGGTTCCCAAACACTCCCATTACACAAACTTCCAAAAAGTACACATTATTTCAAGAAATAGAATTTTAGTTAAATACATTATGGCCATGTTTGTTTAGGCGGACTGGATTAGTATTCCCATGACTAATAGTCTTAGGACTACGAATTCGTTGGATTATGTATCCTATCTTAACTAATAGTCAAGTTTAAAATAATTATTCAATTGTTTAACCAAACATCGGATTAACAATTTTATTAGACTATTAGTCTAATCCCAACCTCATGTCCACCCAAACAAACATGGCCTATTAGTTTTAAAATATGCACATTGTGTGAACTTGATCTCCAACTTATTCAATTTTTGTTCGAATGTTCTTACCGTGATATGTTTTTGCTGGAAGGGTATTTTTGTCCAAATCTGGATAAAAAAATTGATGGAGCCCATTTAAACACAAGTTAAATAAAATTTACCACAAAGTAAAAAGCCTATTTAGTTTGGCCAAAGAAACAATTTCTACATTAAAATTTTTTAAAAAAAAATTGCAGAACTTTAACAAAATTATTATAAGATAATATTACCCTCCACACTTCAAAAAATTGTACCATGTCCTTTTAGCTATGTTAACAAGGGCTCCACTGGCAATGTTGTAATTTTTCACTTAAAGTAAAAGTTTTAAAAGACTTTAAAAAAAAAAGAAAAGAAAAAGAAAAAGAAAAAAAACTCTTTTAGTGATTACCAAACGCATCATTCTAAAAAAATAAAAATAATTACTAAAAACAATCGTCAAACCCCCACCAAAACATGGCTGAATTGAATCATCAATTGGGCTGTGATGTTTTGGTGTAGGATCAACTGTACTGGTAGATTACTTTGACATTGTTTTCTTGTAGTAGTTTTGTAGCTATAGTTTACAAGGAGGATTATGTGCTTAGTGCTTATGCTCTAGTAATTTCTTTTTTGCAATATTTAAAAAAACTCTTGAAGAGTGATAAAAAGAAAAGATTACATATGGCAGGTCATATGTAATGCAATCTGGGCTGTAAATTTGAAGGCATCAGTGGTTAAGCAGAGTGATATCTTGGGACATCAACCGCGGATCAGGTAATAAATTTGAGTTGCAGCCAGAGGTATAAAAACAAAAATAAAACCTTCTCTTCCATAAAATAAATAAATAAATAAGAATAATAAGTATTTTGTCTTCCATCAGAAATTCCAACAAAGTTGGACAAAATCTTTTCTTTCGAACATCAGTAAATCTCCATCTGAATCTAAATAAATTGTCTTTATATATTCTCTATTTGTGTGTGCGCGCGCATGCGCGTGTCAATAAATCACCATTATCTGCATACAAACCAGCATGATTGATGGAAACTTTGTCAAATGTCAGATAAAAGATCACCTACTGCAGTACACGCCATAACATATGAATCCATGATCGCATTTCAAAAGAGAATTAGCAGAGAAATGTTTGATATCACAATCAGGCGTTCATGTCAAACCAGTGACATACTTTTTTGAGTTCAAGCTTCAAGCAAGCAATATCAACAATGCAATCGCATAAATAACAAGTGAACATTTAATAACAAATAGGGTACTAATCTACGTGTTAAATCCGAAAATCTTATTAGGATATTTGAGTTATATCTATAGCACTCCTAACATTATGGATATGAATTAGTATAACTTTGGGATTTATTTTTATTGAATGTCTCAGCCATTTGTTATTCTTGATAAGGATATCCCACCTAAATTTATTTTGCCATTAATACAAATAGTCATTGAGATTCTAAAGAACACAAAATTTCAGTTCTCTGCGAAGCATACCTTATTTTGATTATCTCCTACTCCGCGAAAACCAAAGAAATTGTCCACAGAATAATGGTTTATTTCTCAACATCCACCTCTTTCTCAACAATCTTAGAAAACCCAAAAAATTGAACATACTTTCACAAATTCAAAGGAAAATAAATTACAAAAGAAAAGAAGAATAATAAAGCAAGCAGAGTCTTTCAGCCGACATTTTCTCACAGTTCTGTAATTATATGTTTTTTGCATATGCAGGATCTTCTTACCACATTCTTGGTTTTATGCACAGCCAGCTTGGGATTAAGCAGTGATATGTGTCAAGAAGATGGTTCCGATGTTTTTAATGTGCTCGATTATGAAGTAGTTGGAGACGGGATAAGGGATGACTCCACAGTAATAAGTCATTAACTACGACCTTCTCTTTTTTTTCCAAAGCTCTGTTCAAATTTTAGATTTCTGGTTTCCAAAATAAAATTTTACAATGGGACATGCCTAGGCTTTTTTGGCAGCGTGGACAGCTGCCTGTGGAGCTGTGTTGGACACTTCAACCTTATACATACCAGAGGGTTCAACATTCTTGCTAAATCCAGCAAAATTTCAAGGTCCCTGCATGTCTTCCAGCATAGATGTTCAGGTAAGTTTATTATACCATCAATGAACAATTTCGTGTTGGCAAACCACATACATATCAACATATGAAGTAGTCAATAGAAAATTACAACGATTTGTTCAAGTTTGTAGCATGAATTTGAGATCAAATGTTTCAAAAAAAAATTGGACAGGTCTATGGGAATATCGTGGCGCCAGATATTATGGCATGGACTAGTCAAAACTTGAACAATTGGCTCATTTTCTCGAATGTGAATGGACTAACTGTCAGCGGGAATGGACAAATTGATGGGCAAGGCTCAAATTGGTGGGATCAATACAACGATTCTAGTGTGGGTCAACACAGTTTTATACTAGATTCCTTCACTCGTTTAATCTTTCCTTACATGCTATTGTTTTATTTTGTTTTTTGGTTATATATATATTTTTCATCAAAGAAGTTCTAACACATGATCATCTCTTTGATCAGAGGTCGAATTTTGAGAGACCCACTGTAAGTTAGACCTCTTTTCATTTTCTAAAATCCTATCACAAACACAGACACACTAACTCAGCTCAAGAGATGTTTGTTTCTTTGACTGCCAGGCATTGGCATTCCGTAACTGTAACAACCTTCAACTTAGTGGATTGACACATGTCAATGGCCCCAGAAGCCATATATCTGTAGTTGGCAGTACTGGATTAACCATATCTAATCTTCAAATAACTGCGCCCAAGGACAGCCCCAACACGGATGGTATTGATATCTCTCAGTCGAGCAACGTGCAAATCCATGACTGCATCATTGAAACTGGTACATTTAAACTTGTCGATTCCTTTTTATCCCTCATTATGACCATTCCCTTGGTTGTACCTAACTTTTGTCTTCAATCTTTTTCAGGCCTCCTATTTCAATTTCTGTCACTACAAATGTAGGTGATGACTGTATTGCCATGGGTGGGGGATTGGCCAATATCAATATTACTAGCGTGGCATGTGGACCAGGCCACGGAATAAGGTTTCTCAAAACCTATCTTTTAAGCAACCAAATTGGGTACTATATACATATATACATATATCTATAAGGTTGAGATAAAAGAAATTTCTTGCAGCATTGGAAGCTTAGGAAGGGGTGGAGCAATGGATACGGTGGAAGAAGTACATGTGAGAAATTGTAGCTTCACTGGAACTATGTTTGGAGCAAGGATCAAAAGTTGGCAGGTAATGAAGCATTGAAAACCATGTAGAAATTTAATTAGATTATTTGGGTGAGTATAATAATAACTGTTCTCGGGCCACTTGTCTTCTAGGTAGGGTCTGGTTATGCCAGATATATCTCTTTCAAAGACATTACACTCATCGCAGCAGCAAATCCTATCATCATTGACCAGTTCTATTGTACCACTGATAAATATTGCACAAACAAAGTAAGAACAAATCGTTTTTCGTTTTTCAGTTAGATGTTCTATAAATGATGGTTTCTGTTGCTAGTTGTTGAATGTTGACTAATTTTTTTTAATCCTACCTAATGTTCAAGACCGAGGCTGTTCAAGTGAGTGATGTTACTTACGATGGATTTTATGGGACATCAATCACAGACAATGCAGTCAAACTTAGCTGCAGTGAGACTGTAGGGTGCACTGACATTGTGCTAAGTAACATTGCCCTAACCTCACAGTATCCAAATCATGTCCTTTCCTCTTCATGCTTGAATGCTCAAGGAACATCTACTGCAATCAATCCAGTAATGGATTGTTTATTACCTTAGGTTCATCATTTATCCATTTTTGGTTCTTCCATGTTGCCATTGTGTCACTATGGACATTTCTAAGACACTGTACTACTGTTATTAATGTTTCAGGGAAGTACTGCCAATATTATCACTTCAGACTACTAGAGCAGTTGTAAGTATTTTGTTCATTCTTTTTACTCTTGTCATTCCATCAGATAAAGCTACACTCAATCTAATATAATGACTTCAATTGTACAATAAAACATAAATTATAAAATGTCATCTGCAAAAGGTTTACAATGATATGGCAATAAGAAAATTTTCCAGTACCGCCAGTAATTTACACATTAACATGTACTCCAACAAGAAGTCGACTTTTCCTGTACCTCTATTTTGTATTGTGAAAATGTTCTTTTCAAGTTTAGTCATGTTGTGTTCAAGAATTAAGTTAAGTTTGTATTAGAAAATTACTGTGACGAGTTTAAATTTCTTTGCTTTCTCACTTGGCGTTCGCGTTCCTGGCTAAGTTCATGAGGGAGTGACTGAAGATGAGAGGAATGTAATTATTTTGCAAAGGTGAAGAAGGGAGGCCTTATGCTGAGGTTTTCAATGTCAGAGACCTCTTACAGTATACTTCTGGAAAATACTACAAAAAGGAAATATTAATTGGCAGTTTGCGTATTTTGATGCTAAGATTCCAGAGGTGAGGTTTGTAATGACGGACTAGAGTATATGCATTTAGTGAAATAATAAACTATTCATATTTATAAAAACCACTAGATATCTAAAACAATTACCCATCCTTCTTTAATCAATTAAATAGACACAGTATTGAGTTATGAAGAAAATAATTTTCAAAAATTGCAAATTTTCTATCCTTCTCTAGTCATCTTCTTGACAAAGAGTTCAGCAAAAATTCGTAATTTTAATTTTTTTCCTCTTTTTTATCTTAAACAACAGCAAAGCATATTGTTTGAAAGTTATGTATATACTATATACTATACACTAATGCTAACATAAATCAACAAGCATCATAATGCCAAATCTTTTTGTACCTGATTTTAGTTACAACAATAGAACTCCTGAATTCCAAATTTCCAAATATGAAAGTCTAAAGAACACAATCCTTGAATGTATTATATCTCACATGAATCTGAGCGACCAAAGAATGTATAACGATTGTTTGCGACATTGTCGTATACAAAATCACGTATGAAACTGCAGACATCAGTAGCAAGAGTAATGTTATCACAGATCAAGTAATGGTTAGTTGCAAAACTATAGAGACAGAAAGGAGGATAACTTACAGAGGAACAAAATGTAGAAAAATAGCAAGTTGAGGGAAGGGTAAATCTATGTATTCCATGATCTTCAGTACAGCTTCTGACTTAATATATGATCTGAAATCACACAATAAAACCTGAACTGATTAATACTTCTAAAGAATATCTCTCTAAAATTCTCTGATAGTAAATCCTGATATGAAAGCATATCTTGGGGACGCCCTAAAGCTTTTAATTGGGATATTAACTATAAAAAAAAAATGTGCAACCCACTGCTGCCTCCAGTAGAAGTCTGGGTGAAATTTTTCGAAATATTGGATATTTTGATAGAATTCACACAAAACAAATAAGAAAGGAAATAATAGAAAACTTGGAATTTTCTCAGCTCAAATCCCGACACAGCATAAAACTCTGAGTTGATGTTTCTCTATCTATCTTTTTCCACAGTCAACTGAGCATTAACAAATATGAAAATGCTGTTTTAAATTTAATTTGCATTGGAATTCCACAAAAAAGTAGCGTTAATGAATTTCTCAGATGAATGAGGTTATGAATGCTATTTGATTTCTAAATGAAAGGAGAGTGCAATGAACATGTCTGATCCATATGGACCTCCTTGCCATAAAAAATATAAAAAATTATTAGAGAGATATTATGATTAGTAACTGCATCGTTTAGACAACATTCCTTAAATTTTATTATAATTTCATTAGTTACAATATAACACAATTGAAACCTCATTCTACACATACCTTTGCTTTTCAACAAGTACAACACTTGAAATATCGTCAGGAGCTCTTCCAGATCTCCTTAGAAGTTTTTTCCCTGCTTCACTCTGTAGAGCTTCAAATCTTATATTCCTGACAAGTAATGATATACTTATAAAGAGTTGAAATAAAATTTTGATATTGAGCAGAAGCATAGATCTGATAATAACATTTCGTAGAAGCCTCAGTGATAAATATGCATGTGTATCTATGTGTATAGATACTCATCAAATCATTCTTTCCTTGGGCTAAACCATCTTATCAGTCAAAACTAAAATCTTCTTTAAACTTTCTATTTCTCATTTGATTTTTTGATCTGCATAGATGTCTTTGGAAGTGGCTTCAAGAATGAAAATTACTTGGCCAACTGGAAAACTTTAGACACCAGTGTCTTTCGTTAGATAAAACTGGAGAAGGTGAAGGCATCAGTCTACTCTCTTTCTCTCTCTCGTGAAAAGTTGTCCCCTGCATTGACAAACTTGAAAAGCTGGCACAAAATTTCAATAAGTATATTTCACGCCTGGGTATTGAGCATTTCACTCTACATGGACACATAGCATGTGTTTAGGTGTGCAAGACTTGTAACCATTGATGCCAAACCATTACTTTGAAGTTCTTTTTACCGCATATATTTTTCCTTGAATAAAATCAATCCGAACACAATAAATCTACTCTTTGGTCATCCAGATTTTCTACATATATATTACAGAAAGAAGAAAAAAGTGGGATTTATCATTAGAAAAGAAAAAGCATAAAGATAAAGAAGAACAAAGGAAAGTACAAAAGAAGAAGATGGTTATATTTGGACGTTCTAAAGCAGTTGAAAACATATGATATAATCATACAGAAATTAGATGAACAAATTAAAGAAAATTGCCTACCTTTTCCTGTCATTGTCTCGAACAAACTTCACACCTCCATTACACAAGTTGCATACACCTATCAAAATAAATAAATACCACCCAATAAAATTAATACTTTGCTATGTATTCATGAAGTATTAAAGCTCTATTTGTTTGGGCAGAAAACATTTTCTAAAAATATTTTTCATATTTTTTGGTGTTTAATAAAATAGAAAATGAAAGTCGACAAAAAATATTTTTCACGATCAAAAAAAAAAAAAAAGAAGCTTATGTGGGTATAAAATGTTTTCTACTTCGAAAAGGCGAAAACGTTTTTTTTGGACTAAAGTTTTACCAATGTCACCATACTTACCGCCACTCTCACCTTAGAAAAAAAATTTCAATAAAAAATATTTTTCGTCGAAACAAACAGAATTTAGGAATAAACACTTAATGAAACATCATCAGTTATGGGTCAACAATATGGAATAGTTCCAGCTAAAATTTTCATATTAGTAATAAATTGTGGTCAAGCATGAGAATAAAGACAATCTATGTTTCAAATTGAAAATTATTCTACAAAATTATTATTCATTTGGACATTTCATCAAACACATGGCAGTAGCAAAAGCATAAACCCTACAGCAATATTAATTATGGTTGTTTACAGGCTAATTAAGAAATTAAGAAGATAATGACAATGATTAAGTTTACAGAGTATCGTTGACTGTTGATTAGTACCGTCGAATAACATGATAGGTCGAGTGTCTTTCTCGAAGAAGCTGGATGTCGCCTCCGCCCAATCCACCGCCGCTTCGCCGCAGCGAAGTGGTGATAGAGTGGCGAAAGTAGTAGTAGCAATAGAAGTGGCTCGGCGGCGATGTCTAACGTACGCGGGAAGTGACGCGCTCAGTCCTGCGCACCCAACAGGGATTACGAGCGCCATGGATGTTCGTTCGTTGGTTCAAAAAAAGGAACCAATCGCAAAACAAAGTAAATGGTTAAATACAATTTCTTTCCGATATTTTAATCAGAGCAAATTACGGGGTGTTTGACAAAGGCAATTTTGTTGACTTTTTTGATTAAAATTATAAAACATATTAAAATAATCAATAAGATAAAATATTTTATTAAATTTATAATCATTTTATTTTTTTTCTTACAAATATTACATCTAATTATAAAAAAAATTAAATATTTTCTCAAATATAAAAATTTTAACCTACTAAAATAGTCAAAAATTAAAATAGCCTATTAAAATAACAACTTCTCAAACACCTATGACAAAAACACACTTGAAATTTAATTAAAATATGAGTAGTGATGTAAATTTGGCTTGACCCAATTTGGTTCGGTCCACTCTGGCTTGAGCCAGCCTATGTCGAGCAGTGTCAATTTCTGTCAAAATTTAGGTCGGGCCAAATCACAAGTTAAAAAATTATGCCCAAGTCTGGGGTATTCAGATAATGGGTGAACCTAACCATTTAGCTCCAAAACACGCGACCTAGGCCCCCAAACTGGCCTCAAGCTCGGTTGGATAGCGGATGGGATTCGGGCGGCCCACAGACTATTTTTACACTCCTAAATATGAGTTACATTTGTAGTTAGAAATTACATCTTGTCATTTCAAATTTTTAATTGCATAATATGTTTTGGCCTCATTTGAGAACTTGGCCATTTTAATTGATTTTTTGACTATTTTACGAGATGAAAAAAAGTTGTGTTTGTGATAATTTGTGAATTTGTTTTAGTTACATAGATTATTGTAAGAGAAAAAATGATTAATTGATGCATATGATGTGACATTTTATCTTATTGACCATTTTAATTTTTTTTGTTGTCTTTATTGGCTATTTTAACCCCAAAAAAATATTCTCAAACATAGTATTTGTTAATAAATAATCAAGTCAATTAGTTATAATTTTTAATAATGTCAGAAACATATTCCAATCAGTAATTCATATAATTTTATTGTTGCATAAGACAATAATTAGAAATTTTATTTTTTGTATTAATTCTATTAAATAAAAAATTCTACCAATGGGTATTTGTAATTTTTTCAAATCACAAGAGCAATTCGTATTTTAAATAAATCTTGGGGGATTAAATAAAAATTCTACTAATGGGTATCTGTAATTTTTCAAACCATATGAACAATTCGTATTTTAAATAATCTTGGGGGATGTATTTGTAGTTTATCCGTTTAATTATGTTTAGAATAATATTACACAAATAAAAAATTCATATATAATGATGTGGCTAGTTGTAGACCTTTCACTTCCAAATAAAATACCATTGAAGATAAATTTATTTATAATGATGACATTATCCCATTATTCTTATCAATTTTTTTTGGTATAAATTTTACGTATGAATAAAAATTTTCTTATATATATAATTTAACTTGTATTTACTATTAAAAAAAACAATAATAATAATTTGTATTTAAATAGTTAGGTAAATTACAAATAAACTTCTTAAAATTTGTTTAAAATATAAATTCTCCCTATAATTTTAAAAATTAAATCTTGCCACTTCAAATTTTAAATCACATAATAAATTATTCTTTTGCGTAAATTACACTTACAACTCTTGAGGTTTGGATTTAATACATATCACCTCCTAACGTTTGGAAAATTACACTAATCTCCTGTTATTACAATTATCTAGACAAAATTAAGATATTGAACTCATGCACTTTCTTTTTTCTTTTTTTGCTTTACTTCGTCAGTTTTTTTTTTTCTTTCTTTACTTTGCTTTATTTTTTTTTCAATATAATTTTTTTTGTTTTTTTTACTAGGAGTTGTGGCCTTTTATATAGTCAAGGGGGTTTATGAAATGAGACTACTGATCACAGGGGTAAGAATGTAATTTCTAGAATGTCAGAGGTGGGATGTAATTAGACCAAACCTCAAGAGTATCAGTGTAACCCTATTCTTTTTATTAATAGATCATTAAATTAATTAACAATTTTTAATAATATCAAAAATATAACTCAAATAACAATTGTGGTAATTTTATTGTTATTTAGAAGAGTAGTTAAAAAAAAAATTTTTTTGTTAATTTTGTTAAATAAATTTTTTTAACAAAGGGGTATTTATAGTTTTTAAAATTATAATAAATAATTTGTATTTTAAATAAATCTTAGGAGATACATTTATAATTTATCCTAATTAGTTTTATCTGAAACTGGGTTGGAGTGTCTAAAGTGATGTGTGGAAAAATTATTCAATGTTCCTTAAGTACCACGTATTTACATTATTTTACTAATCATCACATTATATTTTCTCATATTTTTCAATCATTTAATATAAAATTATGAGCTTTTTCTTACCTTCACTAATCACAATAGTTTGAAGTACCATGTAACTATGCTTTAGGAAAAGAAAAAAACAACTTAACTATATTAAGGATGTCAAACTTATCACTACAGAATTTGAGCCCACAATCTCATAACATAAGGTGGTAAGAAAAAAATATTAAGTGTAACAGTGACACTATTTTATAGGATGTTATCGATTAATAAAAAGTTGTAAATACATTAAGTAGTCAACTGTTACCCAATAATGTGTGATTACTACTGTAAATCAATAATAGTTATTAATGATAATACAGCTTTGTGATGTCACTACTAATTCTAGTTAAGACATTAGCTTCCATTTACACACTAATATTCTCGGTGCACATCATTAATAGATTATATTTATATTCTAATAATATCCTCCAATGAAATGACCATTAAGGACAACATGAGGTGTATTCTTTTCATTCAAAAATTTCATATATTAAAAATACAAAATACTCTTCACACACCATCATTCCTATAGGGTTTAGGGTTTTAACACGTAAACATATTGTATTTCTTCATCATCTTCACCATTAACATACACTCATGATATCATTCATTATCAATTAGCTAACTTCATTCTCTTTTCCATTATACTTATTTTTCAAACCTAAACATTGTTACCTTTGACGATTTAAGGTTTAAGAATATTAAAATCAATTAGTACAGAAGATTTGCACACCGTGGATGATATTGAAATGGTTGGTTCCGATATAAACATTGAAAACGTTGATTCGAATATTGAAATGGTTAGGGAGTGTTTGATAATATGATTAAAATTGAATTGATTAAGTCATAATTAATTAAGTCTGTTTGATAACTACAATTGATACCATTTAAAAATTTAAATACCTCTTAATATTTTGATTTGCTTTTAATTTAAATTATTTATTTATTTATTTATTTTTGTTATGTAAAATTGAAGGAAAAAGCATATTTTAATCATTAAAAACAATGTAAATGTATATAAAATATCTAAAATATTCTTTTTCATTGAGTCTAATAACTAAAATATATTTTCCTGTTAGTTTTACTTAGCAAAAATAGACAAATAATTTAGATTGAAAATAAATCAAAATATTAAAATTTAAATTATTAAAATAAAAAATAAAAAATTTGATTTATTACAATGGTTAAACCCTGTGATTTTGTTTTTGTTGTTGTTGTTGTTGTAATTTCCCCAATAAAGACTAATGTGAAGCGCATACTTTTATATATTTATGCATGTGAAAAATAGAAAAATAGCAAGCTAAGAAAAAATTACACGTTAGTTGGTACTTCTTAAAATAATTATAATTTTATAAAAAAAATTAATATTTTAATTATTAAAATTTACAAACTTTATCACCCATTTGAAAAAAAATTTCAAATTATTTGGGGGAATTAAATATATAAGGGGTTGTTTAGGGTGATTTACTTTAAATCATTATTTTGTTTTATTTGGATCATATCATCTCTCTATTTTATTGTATAATTTTTCATAAAAAATCAAAAAGGGAATTTTTTTTTTAAGGTCCTTGGTATTAAGATTTTATAGCATAAAGGACACCAAATATTTTCATAATATCTAAGATCCCTCAATTTGATCCAGAGAAATTTCATTTAGAAAATTTCTGTGGACTTCCTAGAGAAATTTCTCTCCAGAGGAATTTTTATCCAGAAAAATTTCATCCAGAGAATTTCTCTAGACTTCCCAGAGAATTTCTCTCCAGAATTTCTCTAGACCTCTGAGAGAATTTCTCTCCAGAGAGCTAAAATTTCTCTGGGAGGTTTCTCTATTTCTTTGGACCACCCAGAGAATTTCTCAGAGAAAATTTACACAATAACCAAAATCCCAGAGAATTTCTTTGGATAGAAATTTTCTCTAGAGAAAATGAATGAAGAATTTCTCTAGATCACTTTAAACCAAAGAAATTCTCTCTAACCCAGAGAAATTCCATTTTCTGTGATTTGCAATGGCAGGTCTCTACTTATCTCTTAGACTATTTTAGAAAAAATGAAATGCCAAGACAATTCAAGATTTTGAAAGTATGTTCTTATTAGTAAAGGTCTCTTTCCCCTTGTTTGTTTCCAGAGTAGTTATTACAGGATAAACAAAAGTGTGCACCATGAATTGGAGCGTGGGCATGCACAATGTACACAATTTTCTTTTTAGTTAGAGAAATTCAAGTACAGAGAAATTTACTTCTAGAGAAATTCTCTCCAACCCAGAAAAATTTCATTTTCTGTGATTTCCTATGGCAGGTCTCTCTACTTATCTCTCACACCCATTTAGCAATCAACCATGTATATATATATATATATAAAGAGAGAGAGAGAGAAAGAGAGAGAGCAAACCAGAGGATGAGAGTTATTTGTGGATGACATGGGAGTCTTTGTTGATCACTATTTTTTCCTTTTCATCACCATGAAACTTTGCTGCCATTATCTTTCAACTTTCAACAAAACTGAGTTATACTTGTGACCACCACAATTCTGATCTGTTGGGCTTAAAAAGGACTCATCATCATCAACTTTGATACTCTTTATTTCATAACTATTTGTATTGTTTCTAGGTTGAGATTATGAAGTTTCATTCTTTTCAGATGATTGCGAGGAAGAGGAGAGACCAGTAAGCCTCTGCACCAGGGCCATGAAGAGCTTATATTGTTTGTTGAGGGGGCCATGTTTATCCTCCAAAGGGTTCTCTACCTCCAGCTTCACTGACACCATTTTCATGCTCTAAGATTCTGATTCCGACAGAGATTTCCCAGAATTCATCAACTGAACCATCAGTATCTCTTGATCAGCTGCGAATTTGACCCTAAAGATCTCCAAAAATAGAAATTCGAAGGAAAAGCGAGTCAATTAGAAGAATCTAAGAGAAAGAAACCCTAGAAATCGAAGCCCAACAAGCCTTTATGGAACGGAGAGAGAGAGAGGGCTCACTGAACTATATAAATTGATCTCACGCTCTTCGGGAAGAAGCTCACTGAGGGACCTTAAACATCACACTATAATATTGTAAATCTCTTACATTACTAAAAATGGAAGAGGGATCTTAAACTAATTTTTTCAATAAAAAAATATATTTTTTTAGATGTGGTCATTAGAAAAAATATTTCAAAAAATAAAAAATATTAATAATTATAAATTATAAATTTTTTCAAATAATTTTTAGAATGGTAATTTTCCCTTGTTATTTTATTTCCCCAGTCAAAGGCTAGCATTTTTTTAAACACGAATGTTTAACATTTTTATATTTTTTTATTAAATAAAAATCATAATTTTATTTATTTTATTATTTTATATAAAAATAAATTAACAATTCCACAAACACAATTTCTCCGTCCTACTCATAAAAACAAACGGCGCCGAAAGGTTAGCATGATGACTTGCTGGAGAGGATAAGAAAATTGAAAATGCAAGTCTATGGCAATATGATGTTGACCAAGCTTAAACGCGTGACTAGACTAGGCGTATCATGAGGAGGGTTCAACAATCACAACATGCAAAGAAGTTGGTGTAATTCGAAGAAGAAGAAGAGCACGATCGAAAGAACAATGGGATTGATTGGAGAGACAACGGTGGTGGACTCTATCAAATCTATTCAGTTCCGGCAGGCATTCTCTCAGGCCGTCACTCTCGGTCCCTTCTCTAATTACCCTTTGTCGATTTATACACATTCATTGACCTTTCTGTTTATTTGGGAGTTCAATTTACACATAAACTAGTGTTTCCTCTGTTTCTAATATTGAAAATCTGATGTTTTCTATGTCACCCGCCAGATGTTTGCTTCAATGTTTCATAGAATTTTGAAATCTGTTAGTTCCATACTTTTGGGTTCGGTCAATCATTTGCTGTTTTTCTTATAAACTCTAGTACTGTGTGTGCTGATATGGGTTCTAGAAAAGTGAAAATTAAGATCAATTCAACAATATACAGTTTTGGTCTTGGGTGTGAAGTTTTCAAACTTAGGTTTGCTTGTGTAAGTGACAAATTTCCAGAGAAGAATGACTAAAACAGAGGGAAAAGAAAAAAGAAGAAAAGGTAAATAAAATGTTGGGTTCATGATACAAACTAGAAAGCATTGTGATACATAAATATTAAGATTCCAGCAGCTACTGTATGTTTTGTCAAGCTGTTGTAATATATTGTTGGTTATGCTGTTGTTAGTACTAGACTACTAGTGAGCATGGTTGGCCTTTTTGGGTCCTATAGTAAGATGGGTCTTCAAATTTTTCATGATTGATGATATTGATTTACAGTGAAAATAGCAATTTAGCTCAATTTGGCAGCAGCTGTGAACAAACAAATGTATGGAAATTCATCAACTGGACTTGAATAACCAAAAAAAAATCATTCAAAACCTATTTATTTTCTGCAAGTTTGTGCACTTTGATCGCTTTCCTTGTTCACAACAATGATTCCTGTACTGTTTTTGTTACATTCTTTAAACTACATCGGATTACAGGCTAAAATTGAAGGTATGTACTTTAAGACTCTGCCTTTTGGCAAAAAACAGGAAGGGATGATGTGCGTCCACTGTTATCCCGTGTTTGAATGCGTTATAAGGGATTAGACTAAGAATGTACTTTCTAGGCCTGTTTGATTGGGCAGATTATAGTATAGGATTGAGATTATTAATCCATGGGACTCCCATTCCATTGTTTGTTTGTAATTTTTTGTTATTCGGATTAGATTCCTACGGACATTCTATCCAACAAAATTGGTGAATTTTTAATCCTACAACTAATAATGCAAAATGAACTTATAATGAAGACTGTATATTCTATAATCATTGCAAAACCAATGTGGACAAGAGGGAATTATTTATTTCACTAATCTAGTTGGATAACCAATCCTTCACTAATTTCATGAATTGTTAATCCTCTCACTATTAATTCTATTAATCAAACAGGACCTCTATTCCATAATTGCAGGATAAATCAGTTTCACTACGCTACGGGGTGTTAAATTGGTAATGTGGTATTACGAAGCCAAAAATAAGGAATGGAAGGAAAATTACAACTAAAAACAGTTATGTCCATTTCATTTTCCAAACCTGGCTATAACATGGGTTCCTCACATTCTCTCCCATGAAGATACAAAAGGAGGGCAATTTTTGGAAAAAAATCATTGACCATGGGAATAAGTGAGAAGCATGTTGGATTGGATTAAGATTAGTATATCTGGGCCCTGGACTTTTGAGTGTACAGGGTTTTTTCCCCTAAGGCATTTTCACAATTATAATTTTGCGTATCTAAAAAGAATTTCCTTGGCTGCCATGAGATGATCTTTAGAAACTTTACTTGACAGAAATTCTTCTGCGCTTGACTACTACTTGGTCATGATATGATTTTTGATATGCTATAGAACAACTTGCTTAGTAAAACCAGCCATATGTATGATGAATTGGTTAATAAATCTGGCTTTTCAAAATGGTAGAAGCCAGATAGTTGAGGACCCTAATCCATAGTAAAAACTACTCATGCACTGAAATTAGTAATATAAATGAAGAGAAGGAAACACACCAATGGAAATATTTATATTTGAATCAGAAGCAAATCGTATTGTGACACCCAGGTGTTCACTGTTGAATTAAAAGCTGTACTCAAAATGAAAAATCACAATGTTGTGTTGTGGTTTGATATTCTATACAAATAAATGATCTTATATGTGTGATTTGCTTTCTGTTTCAGGAATCATAGTTGCGTCTGCACTAATAATATGGAAGACTTTGACGTGCATTATGGGCAGCCAATCTCCTATTGTTGTTGTTCTTTCTGAAAGCATGGAACCTGCCTTTCAGAGGGTAAGCCAATCTAAGGTGTTATTTATTTATATTTAAATAATGAATGAAATTTAATCACGCTATAATAGGCACAAGGTTTGTGTTGAACCGTAACGAAACTGCATCTTTCTGTTCCTTAATGGAGTCACTTCTTCCTACTCTTGTACTTGGAATTCATGCAAACATAGGCAAAGCAACATAGTTCTAGATGAATTATCAACAAATTCATACAATTAATTTCATGAGTGCAGACATAGGCAAACTATTTGCATGCTCAATACTATTGCTGTTTTGTAGTAGTAATTTCTAGGAGTTTGGCCACTCACAAGTTAAAATCTATGCAAGTATATTATAAACGGTCTTTTGCATATGTTTGCTTACTTCATATTTATCTTCATACATTTTTATTTTCTTTGTAGTATGCCCTTTATTTCTTAGCTAAATGAGAATCACTAATTTCATTTCCCAGGGGGACATTTTATTCTTGCATATGAGTAAAGAACCTATTCGTGTTGGGGAGATTGTTGTGTTTGATGTTGAAGTAAGACTTCTTCCTTTTTCTTCCCATCCATATGTTCTACAATAGCTGTTTTCATAATCATTGAGACCTGTCTCAACATTACTTTCTATTTCTTTTATTTTGTTTGGAGCATATTTTGAATTTTTGTCTCATGGGAATGCTAAATCTGATATCCCCTTAGTCTTGCTTACATTTCAATGTTATCGTGAAATAAATTTTTTGTTGTACAATGGAAAAAAAAACTTAATTAACGGAAGATTTACTTTCCATGCGTTATTACATGGTGAAACATTTTATTCTTCAGCTTGGCAGTAGGATTGATTGTTTTGTGAACCCTGAGTTTACAAAGGCTCTCAAGTCCAATATTCATTAAATTATATTTGGTACGCACTAGTGTTAGTAAGCTTGTCCATCATGAGCTTTTAAACCTGAAACACTACATTTAGATTATGTGGCATTTCAAAACCAGAATATTCTTGTAGAATATTCTCTAGAAGCTTAGGCAATGCAACTAAGAGTCTGTTTGGATTGGCTTTTGCACTCTAGAAGTCTATTTTGTAGGATGGGCTTTTCACAAAGGACTTCACAAAAGGGACTTTAAAAACATGAAAATGTGTGGTGAGGCATTTCACTGTTGGGAACATGAACTCACTAGAGAGAGATTAGGGCATACAAACAAAGGTATACCGCAATAAAGAATAAATCACAAAATTAGAAAAGCGAATATAAAATATCAACCTTCAAAAGATTCAAACATGTGGTTGACTGATTGTTATGATAATTATGATTTTCTGTTTAGATTTTCAGTCTTGAAATAGGGTTGTCTCATTTTATTTGCAAATTTTGCATCAGTTGATCATGCTTTGTAGAGAGAGAGAGAGAGAGAGAGAGAGCTGTTTGTTGGTATTTTTTGCAGATGATGGAGAAGGTAATGGTGGAAAAAACAAAGAAGAATAAAGAAGAGAATCTACCAGGCACACTCTGCACCGGTCTCCATTAGTAGCCCTCCTTTGAAGAGATATGTTAAAGTTATTATCATGATTTTAAGTTTTTTTATTATTAAATATTCACCAACTTTGTGAGAAGTCAATCGAAAAACCACACAAGGTGGCTTTTCTCAGATGAACTTTTGAACTGCCCAGCTTTTTTCGAAAGCTCATTTCACTGGTCTCACCAAACACTATTGTTTCAACAGAACGACTTTCAAGGCCTAGAAGCCTGTTAAAAAGCTCAACGCCATATAGTTGTGCGCATAACTGTTTAATTTTAACCTAAGATATGATATTAAGAATGCTCTAGCAATTAGTTGGCATGTGCCTTATGAATCACTTTTTTCTTTGGCTTGAAAGTTGCAAATCAATCCTAAATATAACGGAGATAATTACTGTTTAGTCTTGGTTTCAAAGCAGAAACTAGTGCATTTATTATCTTGTTTGCAAACTTGAAAAAGCCTTGTAGGAATCCATTTTCGCCATCTGCCCTATGTTGAATCATATTCTCTATAGTTCCAGTCTTACTACGTTTTATTTATTTATTTATTATTATTATTTTTATACTGTTCTCTTCGCATTTTGTTTATCTTTTGTGGATGTGTAGTAATATTTCTATTGTTTTCTGTTTAATTCTCTCCAGTGACCTGCAGAAATAGGCTACATATGCATGCAAATTTTGCTAAATGCTTGCATATATCTTGTTTTGACATTGGCATTTGTTAATATTTTTCCTATGTCTATTCTTCTTCTTCTTTTTTTTTTTTTTTTGTTGGCAGGGTCGTGATATTCCAATTGTCCATCGTGTAATAAAGGTAATAGCCATTGGAAGAATGTTTTCCTCTCATATGTTATATTGTGATACATGCATGAAAATAACCTTTTATGCACGATGAAAATAAATGTGGTGTCAAAAGAATGCTTATGGGATTGCATGAGCTTGCATCTCTCTTGTTGGTGAGCTACATAGATGAATTGGACATGACATGTTGAACACTTTCCCTATAAATAATCACTTGATTGAGGGATGGAATAGTTCCAGCATACGCCTGTCTGGCTCTACTTTGGCATATCATCGTATCTGTTTCATCTACCCTTAAAATGTTCAAAAGAACTTGTGTTATCCCATTGCAGGGAAGATGGTGTTGTGATTTGCTGTCAAATTATATTTGTAGTACGTATTTCACATATGGCAAAGTCAGCACTATCTTCATTACTCCTGAGGTTGATTATCTTTGTGGATTGTTTTGATTGTTAGCTAGGACCTAGTTGTTGACTTTGATAATTCATCAATTGAAATGTTTGTCATCCTTATGATAAGCCATTGTCACGTCCTCGTTGGGATTTGTAAGATAAATTGATAGAGTAAGAGAGAATAAATTGTGTATATATTGATTGATTGATATTGATTGTATTGTATGTACATTATATAGGAGATGTGAAGTGGAGGTGGTGGAGTAGGTGAAGTGGAGGTGGTAGTGGTGTAGTGGGTTAGGTTTAGTGGAGTAGGTGAAGGTACATTTTAACAGCCCCCCACAAACTCAAGGGGGATAGGAACTAACCAACTTGAGTTTGGAGAGACTAACAAAATAAGAAAATAGACGAATACATAAAATAAAAGAGGATAGGAGACACTGTATGGTCGTGTCAGACCGTTGTAGAAGACTGTATGGTTATGGCAGACCGATGTAGAAGACACTAGCCATAGAACAGTGCAAGAACAAATGATCAACAGATTCTACATCAGCACAACACATGCAACACCGATTTAATAGAAAATGACCATGCTACACCAAATTATCAATCGTAAGATTCCGTCCTAATGCCGCTGTTCACATGATTGGCCGCCCGCCGGACCTCCACACATTCCTTCACTCCGCTGCCACAAATTCCACATCTCTCTCTAGATTTAGTATATACAGAGAGCTATGGAGTCTAAGCCAAGCTTACTGAGGAACATTCTGGTTCGACTCTTTGTCTTCGGTGTTCTCATCATCGCCGTCCGATTCGCCTACGTCGTCACCATCAGAGGCGAATCCTGCGATCTCGGAAGCTTCTGCTTCTTTTCCTCGCCGGAAAATCTCAACCTCGTGATCGGCGTCCAAAATCGCAGGTCATCGGCGATCATTACAAACGACGCCGTCAACACTCCCGATCTCTGGAACACCACTCTCTCTCCCTCTCACCGCTTCTCTCCTCCTCTCTCCAGATCGACACAGCAGTGCCGAAGGGCGGCGGCGCATGATGGATGTCACTGTCTGCGACGGAGGATCCAAGAGTCGGCGATGGTGACGGATTTGGATTTTGAAGATGGATTAATCGCGATGGCTAATAGATTTGCCTTTGAGATTCCATTGCGTGTTCGGTTATGGCATAGCGCTTCCAATCTCTATCCCAGACGCCGCCATCAGCTGGAAACTTGCCACCACTACCGCTGCTCCTCCTCTGCCTCGCGATCCTTGTCTCGCCAAACAACAGATTTTCACACCCTCGTCCGCCGCCAGCCTTCTCCAGCCGTGCCGCTACTACTCCTCTCTCGAACCAGAGCTTTGTCATCGATGGCAGATCTCTCTCCACCGCCACGATGAACAACGGCAGTACTCATCAAGCTGGGCCGTCATACTGGGATCCTCCTCCTCCTCCAGTAACAACAGCAGCAGGGAACTCCGAGAAATGGGGGACCCACATCATGGGTGCACCTGCTGTACCCACTTCGCACCCCGCCAATCAAAAGGCCGCCTTATGGACTGCCGGAGGAGGAGGAGGAGGAGGCGATCACTCCCAAGCCCAGCAGACCAACCACCCGTACCTCTACTACTCCTCAGTTGACAAGCCTAACACCACCACCAGTCCCATGGAATGTATTCTCCATAAGTTCAACTCCTGGAGCAAAAAGGCCGAGATCACCTCCCACAATATCTGGAACCATCTGAAAACAGGGCCATCTGTATCGGGAGCAGCGTGGGATAAAGTGAACCTGACCGACATTCATGTAGCTTTTTGCAGCGATCTGTCCCCTATCCGTCACTGCACCCTCCGGCCAAGAGTCTTGGAGCTATTACAAGGTAATGACAAACAAATTGAACCCATGCCCTGATATGGAATATAGCACTATTGTAAGCGTTTATTATTATTATTATTACTATAACAATCTCCGTTTTTTTAGTTCTTCTTAGAACAATAATAATTAATAATAATTTGTAGTAGTAACAGAGATCAGTTGATTAATGGGAACAGGTTATGGTACCTTTGGGCAATATCTGCGCCATCAATTGTGACCATCTGGAGATACTTTTCTGATGGATTATCCCTCATGATCACTGGGTTGATGGCGCAGATATTGCCCAAAGGTACCATAACCTTGTAATAGCTCCAAGACTCTTGGCCGGAGGGTGCAGTGACGGATAGGGGACAGATCGCTGCAAAAAGCTACATGAATGTCGGTCAGGTTCACTTTATCCCACGCTGCTCCCGATACAGATGGCCCTGTTTTCAGATGGTTCCAGATATTGTGGGAGGTGATCTCGGCCTTTTTGCTCCAGGAGTTGAACTTATGGAGAATACATTCCATGGGACTGGTGGTGGTGTTAGGCTTGTCAACTGAGGAGTAGTAGAGGTACGGGTGGTTGGTCTGCTGGGCATGGGAGGTAGAAGAGAAGAGCACGAAAAAGCAGAGTATTGCTTTTGTGGTCATCATCTTCTCCAAAACCCTCTTGTTTGACTACCGTTCCTCCTCGGAGATGGTACGCGAAAGTAAGAGAGAGATCTTGCGAGTTGATGGAGGTCTCAAATTGGTTGAGGTCCGGCGGGCGGTCAAGGCAAAGTTGTCGCCCGCCAGAAGACGAAGAGCACCAAGAGCTTAACCTATAGCTCTGATACCATGTAAGATAAATTGATAGAGTAAGAGAGAATAAATTGTGTATATATTGATTGATTGATATTGATTGTATTGTATGTATATTATATAGGAGATGTGAAGTGGAGGTGGTGGAGTAGGTGAAGTGGAGGTGGTAGTGGTGTAGTGGGTTAGGTTTAGTGGAGTAGGTGAGGTGGTAGTGGTGTAGTGGGTTAGGTTTAGTGGAGTAGGTTTAGGTACATTTTAACAGGATTTTCAGAACTGGTCAACTTGTAATTACTTAGGACATGACTGCATAACACACTTTGATAGTTTCAGTCAGATTAAAGTTGAATGTCACATGTCTATAAATCAAATTCTCAAGTTTGATTTGTTGGATAGCTTGATATAACATTGTTGGGTTCATTTCCTAATAGCTTAAGCTTTTGGAAAAATTCGTGACTTAACATGGTATCAAAGCTTAGGTTGAAAGAGAACTTGGGTTCAAGTCTCTCCATTGGCATTTGGTATTCTGTACCCCGTTTGGCTTCTTCTTTTCTATTTGGTTATTTCCTTCTCCTGCTGTTTTGTTATTTGTTTCTCTCCACATGCAAGATGGGGTTGCATGTAAGAGAGGGTGTTGGATAGCCTGATACACTTTACTGGGCCCATTTCCTAATATATTAAGATTTTGGGAAAATCGGTGACTTAACATATAGATCCAATGGATTCTTTATTCTCTTTACTCCAACAATCAGGTTCTGCTAGGTTTTTTTGGTACTCCAAAAAATGCTAGGGAAACTGTGATGGATGATTGGTAAAACTTGAATTTCTATTGACGAACATTTTTTCTCCTTCAAATTGTAAGTGGTTCATCTTTGTGACAAATATGTTTTGCTCCAAACAATAGGTCTAAAAGGGGATGAACAAATTGATTCTCCCTTGTAAGGTTTTCTAAGGGGAAGAGTGGGTTTTTGTACAGTTGGATTGGAGTACCATGTCTTTTTTAAATAATGGCATGCTACAAGGTATTAGATGTTGTAAACATCAAAAAAAAAGAAGGTATTAGGTGTTGTAGAAAAACCATACCATTCTTTCGAGCACAAGGTTCCTGGACATCATGCAACCTTTATATTAATTCTATGAATATTAGGGCACGATGCTATAGACTAATTCACAAGATGGTTTCTTCTCAACCCCCATTGACTATAAGAAATAGCTCTGAAATTATAGTAAATTATTTATCTTACAGTAGATTCTGTTGATAAACAAAAATATAGGGGTGTTAGCAACAGCTCCATTGGAATTCATGATTTAATTTTTTTTCAAATACAGCAACCATTATTTTTCCTTCCTTGCCTGTAAGCTATTTATTCCTCCCTCCCCTCTCTCTGATACTGTTACTATTGAAACTCGTCTAGTGTTAACCTATAGTTATCTGGTGTACTGATACTTGTAGGTTCATGAACGGCAAGATACTGGAGAAGTTGATGTCCTCACAAAAGGTGTTAGTTTTTTTATATGAAGCTTTGTATTATTGAGAAAATATTAATGGCATTTTCTTTTATTATTTCCTATGTTTTTTATGGTGAAGTTATTTGGATGTTTCATGTTTATTCAAGTCATTGGACAGGACCTGATTATATTGTTATCAGCACTTCCAGGGACACCCCTAATTTACATGGTGTGGGCCCCACTCCCTATGTGAGTGGGTGGTAGTTTAGTGTGTAAATTATTAGGTGTCGCTCTCAATATATTTTTCTTATTTTTATGATTTATCTTCTGCATTTTGCTTGTGTTGCAGTTTACTAATTATCTCATCATGTGATATTAGATTGCACTTTCTATAATGTGCATCTGCTGATGCCCCAGTTTCAACCATTTATGTTTTTTTTTTTTAAATTTTTTTCTCAGGGGACCACAATCGTGACGATGACAGAGGTCTATATGCTCCTGGTCAGCTCTGGATTCAGCAGCATCACATCTTGGGCAGAGCTGTAGGGTAAAAGCTTTAGTGTTAACCTTCTTTCTGCCATCTGGTACATGTGTTAAGAATCTGTTACACCTAAGCAGGATCAATGAAACATGAAACATAAAAAGAAATGCACAAGAATGATAAAGTGCACATGCACACACAGAACAAAAGATTTACATGGTTCACTCCAAACTAGAGGTATGTTCATGGCTGCTGTAATTTTCACTATGATCATAAAAGTTACAAGAGGATACAGAAATAGCCCTCTCCCCTCAACTATAATAATAATAATAATAATAATAATAATAATAAAATAAATAGGGTAACAGGTCACAAGTGTAGAACTACCAAAAATACCGTTATTGTAAAATTTTGCAGTCAAGTGGTTAGTGACCAGTATTTATCGGGATTCACATTACCTAAAAAATATGCACCTATTTGACCGTAATAAGCCATCTTTTAGATGCAGCCATGTTGTGAGAAGTAACACCACGTTATAGTTGGGCTTGTAGCCGTAGTTGTGGTTTGTAATATATTTCAAGACATAGTCACTCCACATTTACACTCTTCAATGCTGGGTGTTCTCTAGGCATATTTTGACACAAATCCATTCCTATAAATGGAGTAAGAAGATTTGATTCATCACTCAAATAGTTAAAAAAAAATGTCGCATGTTTTAAAACCCGGAATATTGCAATGGCCGATGAGAATAGTGTCACTTCTGTGGACACACTTCTAGTGTAGATTGGCAGTATTTAATGTCATGGGAATTCAAAACAAATTGGATGACCAATGACATTTTGGACCTATCAGCAACCTTCTATTTCTCATGTTGCTTCTCTTATCTGCACGGAGTGATTGTACAAATTATGATCAAACTTTTGGGTTTGACATGTCCTTAGTTGTTGGGGAAAATAGAGGAAATTTTACCTTCTTTCTAAATAAAAGAAGGGGCCCAATTAGTACACATTAATGTGTGTTTGGGAGGGAAAAAATTGAGTATACACCTAACTTTTGGTATAATGCACAAAATGGTGATCCCAAGACTTGAACCCATAGCCTCAAGGTTATTAGGCCAAGTCTTAACCATTGAACGAATGGTCACCCTTAAATTTTACCTGCTTTCTAAAAATGAAAAATAATAAATCCGTAACACTTTCATTTGCTATTTGCAGGTTCTTACCTTACGTTGGCTGGGTGACAATTATCATGACAGAAAAGCCTATTATAAAGGTTTGTTTTTTTTCCACAACACTCTTTGGCACTAAAGTAAGATCTTGTTCTGTCTGGCATTTTGACACTCTGAAATACTATCGGTTATTGTTCTTTGGTTTGCAATTCTTTGGCTCTGAACATCTACAATTTGAATCCCATTTCCTGCATTATTTTTTATCCAGATATTTGAAAAAATAAAGAAAAAAAAGTGCCAAAACTCTGTTAGAATAGAAGAAACTTTTTTTCTGTAAAAGCTGCAATGAGTAGAAATTGTAGCTATCAAAATTCCAAGATATGTGGTAGATTGGAATATTGTAGTTTTTAATCGAATTTATTTATTTATTTTTCTTCCTTTGCAGTATATTCTTATTGGTGCTTTGGGGCTGTTTGTTATTATATCGAAGGACTAACGAACAAAGATCAAGTACATTCAACCACCCAAAAATCTGGTTTGGTTGAGAACAGCAGCTGCCATTCTTCTCTTAGTTTTGTGACCTCTCCTTATCCTTGTGTACGCGGCAAGGAAATGGATTTTCTTTTTCTTTTTTTTCTTCTTCTTTTTTGTGAATATTGTAACTTGAATCAGAATTGGTTAAAATGTTTCAGTAACTGTCAGAGTTCGAGTGTTGATGTTGGGAAGATTTTGATATGAATTTATTGTACTTGAATCTTAAAATCAATAACAGGTTTTGATTTTGAATTAAAAATGATTTATTAAAAGTAGGCTCATTAAACTGATGACACATAACATGGAATCTCAAATTTGATTGTTGATAGGTCAAGTTTAGTATTCAAATTAGGTTGATTGAGATTAAAAGTGTCGTGAGATTGATTGATGGAATTAGTAGTGCGGTGATAGTTCAATTAAATTTATAAAATTATGTAAAAATTCTTAATATAAAGTAAAGAAAAGAAAATGATTTGTTATTTTTATTAAGTGGGGATAAAATAATATTTCAACCTCTAATTTCATAAAATGATTTGTTATTTTGCTCCAAACAATAGGTCTAAAATTGTAATTTCTAAGTATTTTCAAGTTGCTGTTTTTTTTATCGAATTTTGTAGGATACTTATGAGAACAAGAAATAGGATGAATATCTAATCTAATATTGTGTAACTTGGATTTGCGCGACTCTGTTATAGAAACACTATGGCACTTCTGTTAATATCATTTTCTTTAGAATCATATGAAACTCTTAAGGCGCGTTTGATTGCTTCATTATTAGTGGGATTAAAAATATAGAAAACCTGAGAGACTAACCAGATTGTTATTTAGTATTTGAATGCGGGATATGGAGAAAGTGATCGGAGGTGAGAATATGTCAGTCCCACCACACAGTCCAATCCGATGTTTTGATTTGCATGATATTTTTGGGATAATCTACGTAAGTGTAATTTTTCACTTTTTATAAAATATGGGTTCAGTGTGGGTTGAGTTTGAAGTGATGTGTCAGAGAGGTGATGTGATTTAAATAAAATGATGTGACTTTTTGACTTGTTTGGCATGATTTAAAAAAGTCAAAACGTCACTATTCTATTTAAGTCACATTATCTTATTTAAACCACATCACCTCTCTAACACATCACTTCAAACTCAACTCACCTCCAACCCATATTTCATAAAGAGTCAAAAAAGTAAAAAAATGTACTTATTTAGATTATCTCAAACCATTCATTTCGAATAATTTTAGAAGTGTTATGGATAACTAAATAATAAAAGAATAGAAAATTATATAATACAGCATATAGTGTAATATTAGAAGAATTAGACATGTCTGAATTATTTTTTCCATCATCCAACAATAAAAAATAATTGAGTTAATTATAGTTTTCACCCCTCTAATTCCTATAGTTTTAAATTGAATAATTTGGTTGTTACACTTTAAGTGTAGTTTCAATTTAGTCATTAGGTTAAAATTAATAATTTTGGAATATTTGTTAATTTTCTATAGTGTACATGTAGACAAAATTAACAAAAATTAGACAAAAGACTTAAATTGAAATTGAAAATTAATTAAAAATTATAATGACTAAATTAAAATTTAACTCACAACTACACAATGAGTGAAAAGTGTAATTAATCCAAAATAATTATGGGTGATGCTATGGTAGATTTAGATGTACCATACATTTAGTTATGAACTTATATGATTTTATGTCATAACCAATACCATATTAGTCATAACCACTATCATATTGACCCATAATTTAGTTATATTCAATTATTTATTTATACCATATTACCTCATAACCAAGTCATAACTAAATTACTTAAATAATTTAACTCTCAAATAGGCAATCGGTGTAGCTGGTTAGAAGGGGAAACAAAATTGAATCAGTCGTGTTTGGCCCTCTTGTTGGCTCTTCTCCTCCCTCTTCTCTTCCCTCTTCTCTTTCGCTATAGCCGAAGCTTCCAAGGACCACCAGCCTCGTCGGCGATCTGGGCTTCAGCCATGTCGACATCTTCTTCATAAGCTCTCACTCTTTGGACGTCTCCACCATGGGTTTGTGACCAAAGATCTAGTCATCGTCCTTTCCCTTCCCTTCCAGTCGAATCGAATTTTTTCGAGAACTCTTTTCCGTAGTTCAAGTTTGTTGCTAACTCTAAGCTTCATCTAAATGTGCCATTGGTGCTTTGATTTCAAAACCCTAACCATTGAATATCTGTTATTAATTTTTTTTTATCAGTCAAAATTAATATCCATAGCCACCCAAGATAGTTGTGCCATTGGGGCTTTGATTTCAAAACCGTAACCGTAAAGAATGAATATCTGATATTTGTTCTCATTCAAAATTAACATCGGTTCTCAGTCATATTCACATTCCTTTAATTGCTTTCACTTTGCTATTTCTTTGTCTTCTATGGAGATGTCATTACTTGATTTCTATGCTTCTACATTAGATTGATACTTGTTATTGCCCCAATTCTATTTAATATTTGGCTCAGTCTATGTATTGTCTTTGTTTTGTTGTTTTGCTACAATTTTATCTTTTGCTCACCATGTGTTTGATAATATGCCCAAACCAATAATAACATACTTTCATTGATCACTTACTGTTATTGATTAGGAAAAATATTTTTTATTAGTTCGTTTTCCTTGCCTGCAATATTTCGTACCACTCTTAATCAACAATATGATTTCATTGGATTTTCCCTTTTGGTTCAAAATAAACCTTTATACTGTTCTCATCTCTTTGGAGTTTTTATTATCTTCTCTATTTTTATTATGTGTGGGCTGCTTCTATTTATACCCGAAAGACAATTCTTTACACCCCCCATTTAATCATGTACACTCAAGTTTAGAAACACTTAACCTTTATATATCATTTTTATTTTTCAGTGAATATATTTTTTAATATTTTAATAACAATTTAAATGTTTTTTCTAAAAAAAAAACATGTTCAATTTAAAAAAAACATCTTCATTTTAGCATGAATAAAATCAATATAACTTACAATTTGATGGTTCCAATTGGCAGATCAAAAGTGTCAAAAGAGAATGAAGATTTGCAAATTTGTAGGCACATGTTATCACGTGCTAGGTACTAACCTTGATTTTTTAGCAGTTCACATAATGTTTCTTTACTCCAAACCTGTTATTGTTACTCACTAAACTCAACACAAGCTTAATTCCATACCTATTGTCATCAGCTACAACAAAATCCAACCCCTTCAATTGAACAAAAGAAAGGCCATGGCTTGAAGCCCATCTAAAAGCAACTGAAATTTTGATAGAGTGAATAATATGTTTACATGGACAATAGGTTTGACATTATGGACATGAAAGCAAACATATATTGCTCATTTTTTAACTTTGTTCATCATTGTTTTTTTTATTTTTTTATTTTTAGGTATTTCCATTACGTTTTGCAAGTTACAATTGGCTATTGTTTTTTGTTGTTGATTGATTTTAGAAATTTGTAAATGACAGTTTCATTTTAACCTTTATTGCCTAAGCTGTATATCCTGTATTAGATTGTAGATATTCTTTGCGTTGAGTATGGATATCTTAACCTCCTTGTTTGCTTCTTCTTTTCCTGATGTATATTTGTAATTGATGTGGCAACGAATATCTTTGCCAAACTTTTATATACTTTCTTCTTTTTCTTCTTTTTTTTTTGGACAAACGTACTGTAGACTTTCCCGTGATTATATACTTTCTTCTTCTTCTTCTTCTTCTTCTTCGCAATTTCTATATAATGGTGGTTGTATACGTATTTTTAATTTTGTTTTTAAATCTATCTATATAATAAATCACACTCGCATCACTTTCCTCCCTCTTTCTGTTTCTTCTCTCTCTCCATCTTCACCACCGGTTCTGCAACCCTTCTTCTTTCCTTATTCCTCACGATCGTCGAACTCATTGACCGGGGGAAGAACTGAAGATTTAGTAAGGTTTTGCAGCTAGAATCTGTTTTTTTTTTTTTTTTTTTTTACCCTGACCATTCTTAAATTGTGTAGTATTCGAAAATTGAAATCGAAATCGAAATATGAAAATATTTGATTCCTCTATGGTATATTTACAAATTGATTTTATGTTCGATTGAGTTGAAAGCGTTATATTAGTTCTTTCATTTCTTCTAAGTCTTGTGTAAGCGAATTATTTTTAGTGACAATTACTTTTTTCAAAATTTTTGTTTTAAAGAATTCTCTTAGTTTATCATTGTTCTAAGAAACATCTCTGATGTACTCTTCCATTTATCCCTGTGATTTTCTTTATCTTATTCAGTGTAGTCGTTCGTTTTTTTTTTGGAGGGGGTTGTTAAATAGTTATGTTTTCGCCAACATCTGGAAAGGATTTTTGTAGAGTGATGTTGCAAATTTACCTAATCCTAATGATATAGGCTAAGTTTATTTGCTTGATGATGATTTCTATATGCTAAAACATAGCCATAATTTATTTATTTTTTGCCTTCATTTTTTTTTCCTTCATAGGCTTGAAATGGCAGGTTATATGTGTGCATTTAGAGCAGTAGTGACTGCATGAAGTACTGTTCTTGTCATAGGTGAAAACTTTGAATTTTGACTGTAGTTTTAACTTTAAGTCAAACAACTTGAATTGCTATGAAATTTAATGCAAAGTTTGAACCAAAACTATACTTATTGGTGTTGACTTGGTAGTTGAGGTGGATTGTCCTCGAAAAAATGCAGCATATTGTCATTTAGGTATGTCAACTTGTTGAGAAACTCTATTTGCATATGAGAATAGGACCCATTCTTTATCTGATTTGAAGGAATATTTAGAGATTTATATATAACATATTCACATGTGCAGGCTTTGCTTTTAATCTGATTGTTGTTTTTACCTTTTGTAAATTTGATTTTACAGATTATTATTATAGTTGTTGTTATTGTTATTTGGTTTTAGTTAAAAGTTTTGATGTTTGAGGATTTGAGAAACTATTAGCTCATCTTTGAGAAAACATTATTATTATTATTGTTATTAGGTTCAGTATTTGTTATATTCACAAACTCTATCACTAATTTATAACCATTTCTCTATTTTTTGTTATTCAATTTTGGCCATCAATTTCATGGACATTACCATAGCAATTGCCAACTATCAAAGAGGAAGGTAACATGTAATTAATGCTTCTTCTCTTTTTTCTTTTCCCTTTTTTCAGTGTATAATGGAAAACAATTATTGTGGTTGTTTGTATAGGTAGTGAGCTTTTTCCCCTGTTTCTTCTATTTTCTTTTTCATTTTT